GACGTATGCAGAGGAGGGACGATTTTTGTATGGCTTGTATAAAATTATATCAATTAATAAAAAGCAACATTAAATACAGAAGGTAAAAACTAAAAAAACAACACTCCTAAGAAAGAAGCGTAAATTAAATTGTATTCTTACCTTACACCTTTACACGCCTACCGCAGAGTTGGAGATGCTCCTGAGATCTAATATATAGTTACACATTTTACTCACTCACTCACATGCACCCTCACACTTTATTATTTACGTTTCTCATTCAAGTGCATGTCAATGCACCCGCACAAATATCATGCTCATGTTGGAAACAGTTAAAAAAAGTAATGAAAAATATGTTTATTTTTTGGAATTTACGTTAATTCGTAAATTATAAATTTTGTTATGGATGAGCTGGGAACCCTGACACGTATTTTGAAGTAAAACTTCTTAAGGCGCATGAGGGTAACATTTTTAAAAAACGTCACCAAGATGTGCAGCGTTTTTGTCGAAGAAACATGAATGGGTGAATTACCTTATAGAAATTCTATTTATAAAATTATAATTTCGTAAAGAGAATTTATAAAATATTAGTATTTTAAATTTTATGCAAAACAATTTATTGAAATCTCAAATGACGACTTGTAAATTAAAGTGCCACGTGTTTTTATTATCGAAGAAAGAAATTTAAAAGATTAAATTTATAATTTGTATGAATTTTCGACACTTTTAATATTTTAGTGACAATTAAATTCGTAACATATCTTCCTTTTTCCCTCCCTCTTAGGGCTAGCGCGCACCGGTGACTTTTGTCACCGTGACTGTTTCGTCACTCACATCAAGTCTATTAGTATGTATGGAGGTGCGCGCACGTTACGACGTGACAATTGGGTGACATTTTTGTCCGCCGACCAGCGGACAAGCCCGTGACGAAACTGTCACCACGCCGCTAGGTTTTTATAGCAGCGCGCGCACGGGCAACAAAATTGTCACTCAACACGTAGTTCTTCCGCCATTTGCATTCGGCCCGTCGTCTTTAGCGAACGCAAAATGGCGTCAACGTCTACGCAAAACGTGAAAGTGCACGAAGAGGATATCGATAATGATTTACTTATTGAAGAAGTTGAAAAAAGAGCATTAATTTACGATAAAAAGCTGAAAGAGTATTCAGATTATAATTTGAAAATTAAAGCATGGGATGAAATCAGTCGTATAATATTTTCTACAGTTTGGGGTACGTTGTCGTCACAAGAAAAAACTGAAGCTGGTGAGTATCTTTTTATTTTTAGTATTTGTAGCTAAAACAACAGTTGTACAAAAAGGTGAAATTCAGATTTTGTCATACTGCCATGACACAGCCCCTTGTGGTGAAGTAAAGTAATTCGCAAAATAATTACGTATATTTGCTGCTGATATGGTTCTGTCTGATGGATTTGTTGCAATACCTTTTAATGGACAATCGTAAACAGTGTCAGTAAATTGAATGCCATCACTGCACCGTACAAAATTATGTAAAATACAACATGTTTTTACTATTATATCAGCAAAATCAAGACTGACGTCAATCGGCCTGTGCAAAATTCGCCATTTGTTACAAAGTATACCAAAAGTGCATTCAACCATGCGTCGTGCCCTAGTGTGGCGATAGTTGTAAATTTTTTTTACAGTAGACAATGATTTTCTTGAATATGGTCGCAAAATATGCCTCGACAAGCCAAATGCCTCATCAGCGACCAAACAAAATGGCATTTTTTTTCATTTTCATCATATGGCAAATTACGATCATCTGGTATGCTCAATTGATTTTGCTGCAATCTTTTGCCCATGCCAGAATTCTGAAATACATTGGAGTCGCTTGCTGCTCCATTAGCACCAACATCTATGTATACAAATTTATAATCTGCATCTACCCATGCCATGAGAACAGTAGAAAAGTACTTTTTGTAATTGAAACACTGCGTACCGGTGTTTTCCGGCTGAATTATTCTCACATGTTTGCCATCAATTGCGCCAATTATGTTCGGAAAATTTGTCCGTTGGTAAAACTGATTTGAAATAGTATACCAATCCTCTTCAGACTTTTCAGGCATGTATAGTGTATGTAAATTCCAGATCGTAGAACATGTAGATTTTACAATTTCTCGTGCAGTGGTGGCACCTATCAAATATTCAAATGATATGCTGTAAAAACTGTTGCCGGTTGCAAGATATCTGAAACAAAAGAAAATTAAATACATAATACAAAATTAAAGTTAATAATACATAAATTAAATAAATGACTGACTGTTTTATACTAGTTAAATATTTATTTTCAGGTAAACTTGTACAAAAACGATGGAAGAATTTAAGGGCTTGTTTTTCACGTGAGCTACGTGAGCAAAAATGTACTAAGTCTGGCCAGGCCGCTACAAAAAGAAGAAAGTACAAACATTTTGACCAACTTTTATTTCTTATCCCAAGCATGGATACCCGAGAAACCTCAGGAAATGCTGATTCTGTAGAGGAAATTGCTTGCGAAGAAGATAGTCAGGATGCCAGTGTGGAAGTACTACAGCGAGAAGAATATTCCCGAAAGAAAAATAAGAATAAAATATGTTACGAAGAAAGGCTTCTAGAGATTTTAAACAACAAAAGAGTTGATGATAACAGGTTTATCGAGACTATGAGAAATAACAAAAGTGACTGTAATGACGATGACAAGGAAAAGCATTTTGCGCTGTCTTTGGTGCCGTTGTTAAAAGCAGTCCCAAAGTTAAAACCAGGAGGAGAAAAAACTAGACGTACAGATCAAAATTTTACAAATTTTCCAGGAAGTTCAGAAACAAAACACTCAGCGCAATAATTATCCCCCATCCACAATTTATACAGGTAGTCCTCAAAATTTCCAAATCAAGCCCAAATATTCTGTTTCTATACCATCGCAAAGTCCCCAAGACCCACTCCACTTAGCAAGAAACACTCCACTGATTTTATCTCCTTCTCCTACTTATATTCCATCTTCAAGCCCTCAAAATATGCAAATCAAACCCAAATATTCTGTCTCTCTACCATCGCAAAGTCCCCAAGGCCCACTCTACTTAGCAATAAACACTCCACTGACTTTATCTCCTTCTCCTACATATATTCCATCTTCAAGCCCTCAAAATATGCAAATCAAACCCAAATATTCTGTCTCTCTTCCATCGCACATTCCTCAAAATCCGCTCCACTTAGCAAGAAACACTCAACTTGTTTTATCTCCTTCTCCTACTCATACATCTACAAGTTCCCAAAATTTGCTACCCTCTGCACACACTCAACCGAATTCATCTTCACAATCATCGCCTCCTAAGCAAAACCCTAAAAACTCCTCAGCCGCCTCATCGTCATCAATTCAAACCTATATTACTGAGTTTACAGAAGATTCCGAATTGTATGACATCTGCCAGGAGTACAATATCAACCAACATGAAGAATAATTAAAGAATATTACATTTCAATTACTTTTTTGATTTTTGATTATAGTTAAAAACTACTTACTTTAATTTGTATAACATTTTTGTATTTTCATTAAAATAAACAATTTAAAATTACATAATATTCTAATTACTTATATTTACCTCAAAGTAACAGCGAGTCTTTCTTCAGCCGGAACAGACAATCTCATGTTTGTATTTTCGTATGTCAACGCAGGTCCTAAATTGCGAAGTAATTCATCAAAACTTCTAACACTCATTCGAAAATACCCAAAAAATTTCTTTGGATGTTACCGAAGTTTAGTCTCGGAAATAGGGATGTGAAAAAATAATCGATTATTAAAAAAATCGATTTTTTTAAAAGTAAAAAATCGATTTTTTTACGCGATTTTTATATTTAAAATAATCGATTAATAATCGATTATTTTTATAATTGAAAATCAATCATAGTCGATTTTTCATCTACCACCTCCCGACATTGTCTGGTCATTTATAACCCGGTCATCGAACTATTAGGGATATTCGATATACATCGATGTTTACAATGCGATACATTGAACCCGATTCTTTGAAGATGTATTGATATACTCGATGCATTGATGTTTTTTTTTTAAACATCGAAAGGATGATAAAACCAGTTAATTTTACAAAAACTCAAGTTTGAATGGAACACTATAATTTAAAAGTAAAATAAATTTATTCAGAAGCACAAGATAACATACAATTAAAAAGATAACAAAAATACTGCAATGTGCTACTGAAAAGGCTGAGTCATTTATCAAATTTCACCTAAAATCTATCAAAACGAGATTAAGTTAATTTCGATTTTGATTATTCTTTAACGTTAATTTGTGTTTATAATTTCTATTGTTTATTTTTAATTAAAAAAAAACCATGAAAAATAAAATATTTAGGAGTTTATTTGCATGAAAATTATATGCAGAATGTCACATCCCTACTAGGAAATCTAAATCTTTGGATTTGTATAAATATAAACAAGAGTATCTTATCGTAGATGTAGCAACTAAATAAAGCGAGACTGTGGATGGCTTCCACTCGTGCAGCCTCGACTCGCCAATATTCGTGAAGAGGGTCTTGATGCGAGTCTGGAGCCGGCTTAAGTCGTGTTGCTTCTTTGTTATCAACAATCAGCATTCAACAAAAAGCAAATATCGAGCTCAGACATTAAGCTAAGCTTTTATTAGAAACTGAGCCTACTTACTAGCTTTAGGGTTGAGTAATAAATTTCAACCGAGGTATACTCAACGCTCAGCGCGAGTCTAGGCAGTATGTCAAAATTGAATTAACTGACATCTGACACCACGCTGTTATATTTTAACAGCCGTCTAGGCAATTGAACATCACTTTGGAATGACATAGTCACCACCCTCGATTTATGTCAAATATTGAATTGCGTAGTCTGTCTAGTGTCTAACTTTTTATTTCTTTTTATTCTGTCTCCGTCATTGACCGGCTGCCGACCACGAGTCACGACGCTATTGCATTTTCTTCACCACATTGCTGAGAAATAATTGGTAACCTCTTCAATTAATAAATTCTTATACCACAATGGCCGAACCACGTGAAAGGACCTTCCTCATGATTAAACCTGATGGCGTCCAAAGGGGCCTTGTTGGGCAAATTATTGATCGTTTTGAAAAGAAAGGCTTCAAATTGGTAGCATTGAAGTTCGTCTGGCCATCGGAGGAGCTTTTGCAGAAACACTACTGTGACCTATCCGCACGTCCCTTCTTCTCTGGACTTGTTAAATACATGAGCTCCGGACCCGTTGTTCCCATGGTCTGGGAAGGCTTAAACGTTGTCAAGACTGGCAGACAAATGCTTGGTGCTACAAATCCTGCTGATTCTCTGCCTGGCACAATCCGTGGGGATCTCTGCGTTGAAGTCGGTCGGAACATTATCCACGGATCTGACAGTGTTGATTCTGCTAACAAAGAAATTGCTCTCTGGTTTACTGAAAAGGAACTTGTTGGGTGGACCCCAGCAGCCGAAAAATGGGTTTATGAATAAACATACCTTAATGTAATTCCCAGTTATTGTTAAGCTTGCAACTCAATCAAAATATAAATATATTGTAAATTTATCTTTTATTATTATTTCCCTATTCATTATAATAACACAAATCAAGACTTGCTTGAGTATCTGTATTATTGTTCTTAATTGATGCAATTTCAAAGATTTTAACTGAACTATTTTTGGGTTAAAATGAAAGTTAATATGTTATCGACATTTATTTTCGTTGAAAAAATGCTAATTTAAGAGCATCATTTTGATGCAGTATTGTTTCTCTGGATGAGATGTTTCTCTTCATTTAATAATTCTCAATATGGAGAAAGAATTAATAACTTCTCACCCATTACATTATTATGTACCTATATTAAAATATTCTAATACTAAATCACAATTTTAAGTCTAGTCTTAAATAACATATATACAGTTTTTCCATAAAAAGTAAATTTTCCATTATTGGTTTCTTTTACAATAAATTATGTATTACACTGCTAAATTCATTTATCAAACTGATTGTTTACAAAACCATTTTGAACTTTTGCAAAGTAGACACCACTTCCTTGTAATAAAAGTAAACAATATTGGTAAACCTTTTTTTACAAAAGTTGGCAGTGACATTTTTATCAGTATCTTACAAATAATATACTACAGATTTCAATTATTTACATATTGTCTTGAGTACATAATGTGCTTATGTTATTTAATACTATGATAGCGTTGTTATAACTAAAGGAAAATCTTGGACTCATAGACTCTGTTCAGGACAATGTTCAACTTCCACGGCTGCTTGTGTTGTCTGTGCTTGTTGGTTTGTTGAAATTGTTTGTAGTTGGGTTGCTTGCTGTTCTAATTGATTCTGGTGTATCTTGGATGGTAATGGTGCAGTTTGACCTAGAAAGTAAAACAACATTATAAATTCCTATGGCAAATTTCAAATATGGCTGGATGAAAAGATAAAGTTAAACAATCAACTGTTGCAATAGCCCTAGCATTAAAGTTGTTTTAGTTATTTATAGAAAACAGTCTGTTTTTATGATTCTGTTTACAGACTGGCTTTGACCTAATAGGATAAACTGAGAAAATAGTTTACACAACCTTGAACTATTATGTAAAGGTGAACTTGACTTGAATTACTGTCACAAAAAGCAATCAATGTTTAAATTTTATCATGATAGAGTCAATATAGTAATATAACAATAAAAATTAAATCAATCATTATATTTCAAACTCAATATAGTTTTAATGATATTAATATTGGTGAAAGAATAGTCTTTCTGATAAAAATATAATGTTTATTCAACTTAAAATTACAAAATAGTTCAGTTGTGCTACACCCTCTAGAAATAAGCGTTAATCTCAAAGCAACATTAATATTATTTCTTAATCCTACCAACATTTGATTGCCAAATATTAATTACCATATTTGTCGTGGATCCCTCTGTGCCTTTTCAGCGCAAAACGGTCAGCAAATGCTGCTGTACAGATATCGCACTTGAAAGGTTTTTCCCCAGAGTGTACCTTTGCATGGTTCTTTAGATGAGCTGCCTGACTAAATGCTGAACCACATGTATCACATCTGTTAACAGATAAAAATCAATACAAGCTGTTTTAAAAAATTATACTATATATAGCTCTGGTGTTTTGCCAAATTTTTATTTTACACAAGAATATATAAGTAGAATGAAATAAATAAAATTCAAACTCAGAATATAAAATAGGAATTCACATTGTTGTTATTGTATGATGCAAACGAAATTCATCAGACTAAAGTATTAAACATTTTTATATGGTCGCTTATGAAAGTCTATATACACAGTATATGCATATGTCTTTTTTGATATTTATAAACATTTAGTGGATCATAAAATGTAGAAAATGTTGCACATTATGGATAAGATTCTAGTCTTACTTGTAAGGTTTCTCCCCAGTGTGAATACGTCGATGGTTCCATAGGGTCGCGTGGCGTGCGAAGCCTTTGTCGCAGACCTATAAATATCAACACTTATTGGATAAAAATGGTTAGGTTTTAAATGATCAATTGCATTATAAAATTTATATACATGGTGTGTTGTGAAGTGATAGTTTTGTTTTCGCAATTTTTTTTTGTAGGCTTCTTTTTTTTTAGGCAATCTTTATAAAGTTTGTATTGTTATTTAATTCCCAGGAAAACAAGAGGAAGTCTGATAGCCTCATCATGTTCGTAGTAGTAGTAGCCAAAAATTTTTTTACTAAAACCAATGTAAAATATTTACATATCTTTTAAAAACCAAATTGGTTGTTTTATTAGAGAAAAGTACTTTTATGAGCATTCAAAATAGTTTAATCTCATAAATAACCAATTTTTTTTAGTTTTATAATATATTTTTCATCTGTATACAAATTTAAGTATCGCACTTTTAGTTTAAACGTAATTTCGATGTTTCACCTGCCTTTTAACCTTACATAAGGTGAAGTTTGTATAACACACATAGAGATAAGTTTAAAGTCAATTTGAGTCCCCATCTATTCTTTTTATTTTCCATTTGTAGTAATCACACTTTAATATTATTTAACTTTCTTGTAAATAGTTACTCACACTACACTTATCTAAACATTAAAATATATGTAATTACCTCGCAGACATATGGCTTTTCTCCGGAATGCGTTCTTTCGTGGTTCTTTAAATGTGGAGATTGTGAAAACTGCATACCACATGTATTACATCTGAAAATTATATTAGTGTTAGTGGCGCCATCACCCAAGCACCAAATTTATGAATGTTATTAAACATTAAATGATTTAAGGTTATATATTAAACAACTGCTTGGGAATTATTTGCTACACTTCAAATTTATAATATTATGTTTTATAAATATAGTCCTAATGTGATTGTGTGATTTAAGTACAGTAGGATGAGGGTAAAAAAATACTGCTGGGCTAAAAGGTTCCAACAATGTTTGTGGGCAAGTTTATCAAAATTGTCTCCTATATTATATATAGCAGTGAACAGACAGTTTTTATTTAGTTCTAAAAATTCTTTAAACATTCTTTCTGTTTCTTTTTTATCCTCAGATTCAGATTTACTAAGTGTCATTGCCATAATATATCAAATCCAATATGTTTCTGACATACTTAGCGCCAAGTCTCATCTTTGGGTAAGAGTTTTAGTATATGGTTCAACAACTTTCAATTTAATCTATTTCATTACCTATAAGGCTTTTCTCCAGTATGTATACGAGAATGATTTTTAAGATACACTGCTTTAGCAAATGCAATCCCACAAATGCCACATTTAAAGTTCTTTTCACCAGAATGTAGTTTCTTGTGTGACCATAAAGAGGAATATCGTGAGAATGATCCACCACAAATATTACAATGATATGACTTATCCGGGTTTTGAGCATTATTTTTATTTTTGTTTCCACCTACAAATATTATACCAGAGCCATTACAGTTCTGGCATTTAGTCACTGAGGCTAAGTTTCTTTTTTTTACAGGATGATGTCCCGGCACTGAAAAAAATGGTTTACTTTTCAAATTCATTACCCAAAAAAAGCTACATAAACCAAATTAGATTTTTTAATGCAGAACTATAAAGCCACTATTTACTGACATATCATTAGACCTGAGTAGAGTTGGCATTATTATACATTTAGTTTAATTATTTTCACAGTAGACAACATTCAAGGTAGTAGTTAACACTAAGTCTTGAATCTATCATGATTGTAAGAACAAGATGATTTATTTTGTCAAAAGACTACACCACTTCTTCTCAGATTTAAATTCCACATATAGTTTAGCCTACCTACTTCTTCTTCTTCCAAACCTAGAACTTTAATGCATTGCATTGGTTAAAAACATGAGAATTGGCTTACAGTGTTTCTGCTGTTGTTGATTGGCCTGTGCGGTTGCCAAAGGGTCTGTGGAGGGCTGCACCCCACTCACTTCATACTTTACATTATCTTCTGCCACAAATATTTGAGCTGTATTCACTGATGGAAAATAAAAAGATTTGGTACAGAGGGAAAAGTACAAGAGATGCATAATTAATTAAGTAGTAAAAGCTCAGCCCAAGGGTAATTGACTCACAATTAATATATAAAAGTAGTAGCTAATCACGAGGCAGAAAAAAGATGATCAAAAAGGAGATTTTTAAATAAATTTAAAGACTGAGCTCGTCTGATATGAATAGGTAAGGAATTCCATAGCAGGATACTTTGCACGGTGAAGGAGGAGTGATAGAACTCAGTTTTATGAGTGGGAGTTTCAAGAATTAGGTTGTCGAAGGAACACAAATCAAAACTACCACCAGAGAAGAACATAAAATTTTTCTTTAAGTAACTAGGGGTTTTAGGATTAAAAAGAGCATTATAGAGAAGTTGTAAAACGTGCATCTTACGCCGCAATCGAATGGGTAGCCAGTTAAGCTTTCTTCGGAACTCCGAAATATGACCAAATTTACGAATTTATTGTTTGTGACGTAAAATAAGACTTATTAATTTTTAAAAAGGCGATTAAATGCATGTACATATTTCTTGACCTTAAAATTGCAATATGTATTTAACATTTTCATAGCAACCCTAACCTAACCTACCTAATCATAGAGTTTTATATATAAACCAATAGATAATACTTATTATACTATTAAGCATACATAACTAAGCATATTGAATTTTCTTACAGTGACTTTGTCTGTGTTCAATGTTAACCTGAGCTATACAATTTTCACATCTGATCAGTTTGGGTCCTTTCCGTTTTGGGTTATTGGGGATCACATTGCCACATGTTATGCATTTCTGTATTTTGTCTATTAAAACAGGTTTCGCTGAAAAAAAAAGGAATGTTAATATAAAACTTTTTCCACCAGCAATATTTCAAAAGTGAATACATTGTTTAATAATTACATAGAATGTAATAGTTATTATCTTTCTCCCTTATACATTTACATACTATTAACCTTAAATAGCTATTGAATTGATTAATATAGTTTGTGTCCATAGACAATACAAAAAAGAATTTAAAAAAAATTCAAAGCTAAAATCTTATAAATCACCAGAAGTGGAAGTATTGTGGCTGAAACTAAAGATAAAATAAAAGAGAATTAATGTTTTCACATAAAATACACGAAAACCAATGAATAATAATTTAAAACTAAAAGAAATAAGTTTTAAATTCACCTAATACTTTTTAAAATTATTACAACCAGTTTTGCCGTTCCCTATTATAAAGCTTAAAAAATGTTTTAAATTTAACTAATACTTTTAAAACCTATCACAACCAGTTTTACTGTTCTCTTTCAAAATTCCACATTTAAAAAGATGAGAAAACATTACTCACTATCCTGTATTGGTACATGTTGTTGCTGCTGTTGTTGGTCACCAGGATCTGAAGATAGTATTTGTATGTGTGGGGGCATTGCAACATCATTAGCAGAACTAACTCCAGTTGTCACTACTGTTATGTTATTGTCTGGAATTAGAGTTAACAAGATTTCAATTGGGAAGCTTAAATAAAGTTAGTTTTATTGCCATGCTACAGATCACTTTAATGTGTTTGTTATCTTAATAGAATTTTCAGTCTAAAATATATTGCAAAACTTTTTTAACAAAAAACAGTAGGAAATAGCAAGAATCATCAAATTAGAATTCATCTTATAAATGTATAAGCAATAAAACTTATCTCTACTTCTACTATTATTATTGGAAAAACATTAATTAAGTTACATATACCTGTATCTTGCGTATGTATTCTTTTATGAGCATTCAATAAAGTCAAGTGTCCAAACATTAGACCACAAACATCACACTTAAAACTAATATTAGAAATTGTATTCTGAATTCCATTGGGAGCTATTTGCATTTGGTTCACTAATGCATAGTTGTATGTGGAAAAAGGCTGCGCAATATAGCAGGTTTTATCATCGCCGGTCGTAAGTTGGGCTATGTTAACACCCCCAGCTACTGTTCCTGCTCCATTTGCTGCCCCAGCATTAATTTTACCAATCATGTTAACATTGGTATAACAGAAAGTTGGAAATTCCTTTAAGAAAAAAGAATTTGTTTTAAAAAATTAGACAAAATTAAAATTTATTTGTCTTACTGAAGTCATAAGTCACTTTACCAAGTTTTATTCCCCATTCAATTACATATCTTTTTAATTTATAAGTACCTGCTGAGTTTGCTGTGCCTGTTGCGCGGGTTTTTGTTGAACATTCTCAATATTTTTTCCCTGTGATTTCTGAGCATGTTCTTGATACTGTAAAGCCGGCACAGCTCCAGCTTGTACAGTATTAGTCGTGAACATTTTGAATGGTTTTACATTACCTAGTGAGCTTCTCTGAAAACTTGATAATTAAGGCCGATGAAACTGGAAATAAAATTGTAATTCTTTATCTTATTAAGAGAAAATATTAAATAATTTAAAACTAAAAGCGCGGCTTTATTTCTACGCGAGAAACTTCAAAACATATCGTGCGAAGGTAACGGGAAATACCTCTTATCGTTCTACTCTACTCGTAAAAAGCTTCGTTCGATGAAAGCGGTGTACATCTCAATAGGAGGTGTCGATTGAAAGAAAAGGATGACGATGAATGTCTATAGACGCGCTTCAAGCATAACACGGACGCCATTGTATAATTACAATTCCTTGTTAAAAAGAGTATTGAATGCTTTTACTGTATATAATACACATCAGCATAACCATCTCTGATTTTCTATATAATCTTACCTTTACAAAGACTTATGTTTATGTTTATAATTTAAAACTATTCAAATAATAAATTTATTGTATTTCTATCTCTCTTTGAAATTTTCAATTCTCCATCTCACTGCGTAAATGAAATGGCGATAGGAAGAAAATGGCGACCGGCAGGAGAGTACAGATAATGCAATGTTTGCACCGATGAATAGTAAGACAATTGTCAAAGTAAAGGCACCATAAATGGGAGGAAGGAAATCTATGGTTAAATTCAAATTGTCTTTTTATTTCTAGTTTCTACTTTCTACAATATGATTGCATATTATTTTATGTAACGAGACTCGAGAGACAAAATAGTTTTGTAGCTGATGTTACCTACGGGTAAAAATATCTTAAAAGTTTAAGTACGTGCCACAAAATCACGTTTATATAATTATGCAACGGCCAACGACTTTGTAGATAGTCCATGGGTAGTTTTCTATCAGAATAAATTATTAATGTTTATATTATTTATAAAATTCCTAAAAAAAATAAAAACCTTTAGGTCAGGAGCTATTAGGCAGAGAGATACTATACAAGATTTTACTGTTTATATTAATTTGTTATTATTCATCTTAGTATTGTCTTTGATTAACATAACTTTTATTCATTTAATAAAACACTATTTTGACCGGATTGAAGTTATGTATTATTATAAATGGTGACCGTGACCACGCACGCTGTAAAGCACGCGAAACGTCGGATAAATTTAAAATTATGTTAAATAGTTGTAAATTTATAATAATACATAACTTCAATCCGGTCAAAATAGTGTTTTATTAATTATTCATCTTTATCAATTTTCTTTATGAATATTAAATTAATTTAAGAGTTTGAATTAAGTTTCCGTTATATCTTGTTATTTTTCTTCAGACATAAATAGGAACCTAAATAATAATAACTGAGAGGTTTAGGTTCCACCTTTTACAGAAAATTAAAATGGGTTATGAAAAAGTTAGAAATAAACAATTTGCAGCAGAATTTGTAGTGGTTCTTGTTAACTCATTACCAACAATAATAATTACTATGTATATTATATGGACCTGTATCATATTAATTGCAATATCCAATCTTGGTTATCAGCTTAGTTTAATTTGCTTTGCCAATACATGAGGCTAACAAATCAGATTTTTTGTTTCTTAATTAACTAATTTTTCCATATTTTTAATATAGAAGTAATAATGTTATATAGTAAAAACTACAGCAAGTCAGTACCACTTATTGAAATAGTATTTGATAAGTTTAAAAATTAATAATGACGAATATTCACATTTTGTGCATTATAATCTGCATGCATTCAGGCATAAATAAAAGACATTTTATTATAAAAATCATAGGAATGAGTTCTAGTAAATAACAAACGTAAAATGACAAAGAATAATTTTCTTCTTTATCACTTTGTTTTATTAAACAATTCAGGGTGTGATGCCATCCAATCTTTTTTAAATCTTTCTACAGCTTCTGCCACTGAAGTAAATGCAACTGCGGGTATCTCATGGTCTGTTTTATCTTGTTTGATTTGAGCTTCACTTTCTGTAAAAATATGTTTAGTCTTGTAACATCGCAAAAGCAGACACATTTTTTAGGCCTACTGGGAATCGAATCCAGGATATCTTTTTCTGTATTTTATATAGAAATTACATACTGGGATGTAATTTAGTTATAAAATATTTGATGTAAATATTTAACCAAGTATTAAAACTAACCGGTTCCTTCTTTCATCTTTATATAAACATGTTCAGCTTTTACAGTTTTTCTTGATTTTGCCATATATTTAAGACTTCTTTCAGGTAACTTGTCGAATAGTGGATCACTTGTTTGCGCTAAAGGATCATCTTCAAAAAAAATATGAGTTCCTAATGGATTTTCATAGGTACCTGTAAATAAGTATGGAAATCATATTGTGTATACGTAATATATCGTGTTATGTTGGGGCTAACTAAAAGTTCTTTGGAGTGAAAAGTCCTAAATATTACCTGAGAAAAATGTGTTATCTAACTGAATTAAAGGGTTTTTCGTATCAATACCTATAACATGAATGTTTCTATATTTTTCTAGTTTAACGCTATCGTCAAACTCAACAAATATGTAATGTTCTTCTTCGTCATCTGATAATTCATAATTCTTGGAAGACATTTCCGTCAATAATATTTCCAAATTTCCAATCTGCGTAAACAGCACAGACTAATTAACGTTAACAGTATACAATATATCTACTATATTATTATCTTTGATTAAACACGTATCTGTGTGCATAGTCTATATCAAAGAGTGATATAAGGGTGCGTTCCACTAAACGCTCACGACGATCTAAATTCTCCTTTAGCCATTCCACATACCGACCGCGGTCGTTGTGGTCACGGCGAAAACGTCACTCATGACGTCATGACTAATGCTCACGCAAGGCTCACAACGACCCATCTTAAGAGGTGGGTCAAAGTGAACGTTGAGAATAATTCGGCGCAATTTTTTAAATTGTTTTTGAAATATGATATTCAAAACTTAAAGATTGCGACAAGAAAAATAACATTATATGATTCTGAAAGAGAAATTGTAGTAGAAGCTATCGTTTCTGGAGCTGAAGGTGCTCGTGCAGAAAGAGGTAAATATAATTATGCAATATAAGTTTAATACAATTGATTTTAGTTTATATTCAACAGCTATTTATACATTTTTCCTGAATAATGGATAGCATAACCTAACTCAATAAGTAAACGATATTTATTATCATTAATAATATATATATATTTGGTAAATTTATTTTATTTGTAGATGTATTTTTTGCTACTGAGCTGTTAAGAAAAATTATTAATCAAAATTCATGAACGCCCGAAACGCTCCATAATCCATTCCACTTGAGTTAACGACAGTAACATTCACAATCAAGTGGAATGGGGAAATCAGCGGTCGTGAGCGTGAGCGTTGTGAACGCTTAGTGGAACGCACCATAAGTATAGGGGAACAGCCCTGCGATTCTGTAACTCACTTTTCGAACTCACACAGCGGTTTTCGCATCGGCGGTCGCTCTCAAATCAGTCGTGAAGCAGTCATTTTATGATTTGACATTCTGATAAACAATAAACTACAAGCTCCCACCTTTTCGGAATGCCAAATCAAAATGACTGCTTCACGACTGATTTGAGAGCGACCGCCGATGCGAAAACCGCTGTGTGAGTTCGAAAAGTGAGTTACAGAATCGCAGGGCAGGTCAGGAAAAGGTCTACGAAGTACGAGTATATATGCAGTATGCACACAGGGCAAGATTCAGAAACAAGACCTAGGGTAAGGTAGAAGAACGAAACTGCAGTAGGAGGAAGTTGACTTTATTCAACTTAAAGAAGGATATGCTTATTACTGGATATTTAAGTCTAATGTGATCGACACTATTTTCTTTATTGATATAGACAAAGGTTATGACGACATTCAGCTTTATTGGTAATAGCCGTTAAGATAGGATGAGAGAACATAATATGTTCATGAAGATTACAGTTTGTGGAAAGAAGTGATCGCATAGATTGAAGTGTGGTTGAGGACACATTGCGACTCCTTAGAACTAATTGCACCGTTCGCCAATATTATGGCGTTATATTTTTATATTTGTCCATTACCTTGTGCATTATGCATAGGTTGTTGCCATTCCTTTTTCGTGTAAATTTTTTAAAATATCTTTTGATAAAAAAGGTGCTCCTCCATCGCAGTGGATGGAAGTAAGTAGTCATAACCAAACCATTAAAAACAATCAAGCAGTTTGCTAGATTTTTATTACATATCCCGTGAAGCATTCTTGCTATACCCGAGTGATATGACGTTTTTACGAATTTCAGTTAATTTATTCTCTATAGTGCTTGTTGAAAGTACTGCTGACTGCACTGCGACAGCGTAAAGTATAAATAAGGAACAGCAGCTAAGTTTTCCTTTCCTGGTCGATAAACAATGTCAGAATTATTAATTTTAATTTTTAATCCTTGACGAATATCATTGATTAAACATAAAAGCAATGGACTGCTTATCAGTTATTAATTTTAAATTACATTATATTAAAAAAAACACTTTTAAGACTCAGCAATTGTTGGATCTTTTTTCTCTATGGCTGGGTGGTTTCGTTCATTATTATTTAAACTTCTGGAGAAGAACGTTAGGTATTAGTCTACTTCCTGTCACATTGTCTCTGATATCAGAAAATTAAAAGAATCAGTTTCTACACCTAACTGATTCTTACAGCGCTTACAAGTTACAACTTACAATGCTATTCCTTGCTTAAGCGTTGACAGCTTCTATATTAACGGGAAAATACTCCAATTTTCATTTATCATTAAATATCTAGTTTTATGTCATGATCAAACTGATCAACTCAGCATACAGTTATATCATCTTGGTACGCATAAACACCTTTCAACTTCTATTTAGCTATATACTCTTGATATATCTTTGCAATGCCGGTACCCCATTCTAGTAACTCGATTTAGATTCGGAATATCTAGTATTGAACTGGTAAATAACTAAGTTATATTATCTTCTCGGAAAAAGTTTATTAATCCCTAAATTAATAAAACTTGTTACCAGATATAAATTAATAACGCTTGTAGAACTTCCAGTATCAATTAAAGCATTGGCTGCGAATTAATTGTTTATTACTAGCTGACCTGTTAGATGATACATATTTTTACTTGAGATGATATCAGAAGGGTTCGGTTGATACCGAGTACAGTATATTAGATTTAATTAAGAAGTTTTAAACAATATAAATAAACATAATTTATTCAATCATAATCATTTTATTCATTCATTTGAAATCCCAAACCTGCACATATACAAACATATTATGCAGTAGAAATATATTTTGGAAATCAGCAATGTACATGTAGTATGTTTTATTTGCTAATGTTTCCTTCTCAGAGATTCAGTAGTTGTTGCAGGTGTTATCGTAGTCGCTTTCGGGGCTCTCATTTGTTCGAAAATTTATTTTTAATTTCTTGTATAATATTATATGACATGGGCGCCTGTTCCATTTGTTAATACAGGCAGTTTTTATCAAAAATCGCCCGCAAAAACTAAAGTAGTTCAGTACCTAAATTAAATTGCGTATTTGATATTTTAAATGATCTTTTAAAGTATGCAACCAAAAATAAAATACTAATTTTATCTAGTATTTGACTAGAGCTTTCCTTAGTGATAAAGCAATTATTTTATTATTTCTAAATACATTGACGTGTTGTATATGAAACCGTTTAATATATGTTAATATCATTCAATAGATTACGACACGATCGCGGTTACATACATGTGGAGAAAGGATGGTGAATATGTAATCAAATCTAAATGGATCCTGGATCAGCGTAACTACTGACTGGCCGGCCCGAAGGTCCCAGTGGCTAACGCCGAAAAGTTTTATACCAGTTTTACATTCAGCCGTAGTGAACACGATATATGTATTAAAGTATCGCGTTTACACACTTGTCCTGCCCACATCCCTGCTCACTGAGGCTGAATTTAAATGCGGCATTATATATCCTTATTCATCCTATTATCTCTATAACCATTCTTCCAAATTATATGCAGTAAATGGGAGAAAAGTCTTTTTTGGTAAGAATTCTTAGTTGTTTATAATAAGACCAACAAACATTAATTATTTTTTTTAATATAAAACCTCTAGGTAGGTACCTTTTGTGACATAAACATATAAGTTAGACATGTTAACGCTGACCTTTTTAGCCGTTATCAAGCTCTACAACTTTTCTCAAGAATTCAATCTTACCTTCAAAATCGGTTCAGTAGATCCAGAATTTATATAACCCTATAACCTACAAAGTACAAACTTTATATTAGACACATACAGATAATGAGCTGCAGCTGCAACTGCAAAGATATATGTTACTTGTTTGTCTGTATTTTCGTGTTGCGGTTCTTCTACTAACTTTTGCAAAAAATCCACTTTTACCAGATTGCTGACAATTTGTACCAGCTACAGGACAACTTTGACGAGAATGTCTATTATTCCCACAGTAATAGAATTTCTCAAAGTTTTGTATTCAGCGATTATTCTTATTTGTAGGTATTGCATTCACATAGGAATCAGAATTACTGTTAATCTAATGAAAATCTTCATCAGATGACAGTTTAATTTATGCCTTGAATGAATCATTTGGTTGTTTTAAGATCTAATTGTTCTATTGTTTTATCATTATGGGTACAGTCCTGTATAAAATGAGCAAAAATATAAAGAGAAAGATGATTTATTGATAATTTAAGCTTTATTCCTATGACTGTAACTTTTTGTCTCATAGATGATGTGAAATTGGTGAAAGTATATGTCCAGAGGAAACTGATCTTCATTAGAGGATGGGTCTCCATAGAACTAATCTGGTTACAAATACGTCTTGTTGATTTTAATATTTTATTTTTACATGAATAAATTGTAATAAGATAGAAAGTTGGCTTTATTCAACTATAACATGACTACTCAAAATCACTTTTATATCGAATTAAAGAGGCTGATAAATTGAAAAGAATTACATACCCTTTTAAACAGAAGATTATTATATAAATTTGATTTATATCTTTATTTGATTCTTATAACAACATTTTAAAAAGAGAGAGATGCATATTGTTTTTTTTTAATCTTCAGTATTTATTGACAAGGAAGAGCAGTCTTTAGTGAGGATGTTTGGTACATCTCTTTGTGAAAAAAAATAAAGATTTTTTATTTATATTCCTCTGTAAACATAGATTAATTTATCTATAGCATAATTATTATGATATATATTGTGTAATGCCTCATCTATCCATAAAGGAAATCTATAATTTTCTGACATTTTTGTTTATTGACTGTCCCATTATTTTATAAACATATAAACCTATTTAAGATAGTTTGATAGGAAATAGCTGTAATCATATTCAATGATTAGACATACTGATGTACATGGAGTATTGTTTTCTTGGTATATTTCTCACTGAAAATAAAATTATTGTCCTATTAAGTTTTTAAACACTTGTTTAGTCATAAATATTGATTTATTAGGTATTCAAAATTTTTATTCCTTTTGCATTTCATACTTTTAAAATATTAAAATTGTTTACAAAGGCAACAAAAATAGAAGGTATTTCCAGAAACCAAACAAATAAATGCTTACATCATAGTTAGTCACAAGTTTGAGAACTTTAAATGCATTATAATTTTCAAAAACAAAAAGGAGAAATATTATGCAATAAAGTAATTGGAGTTTAGGTCTTCACCTCCCAGAGAACTCGCTATTTCTTTACTCCAGGAGGCTGTACTGGTAGGCCACGTTCTTTCCCACGTAGTTTTATGCCAATTGCCCGCTCAATTTTGCCAAGAACAATATTATTTGGAATTCCACGTCCTGCTTCATAATCATTAACAATTTGTGGTTTTTCACAAATTTTTGTAGCCAGATCTTTTTGACTCATTCCCTTTGATTGACGTCCTTGCATTATCAACTTTCCAAGATCTAATGGAATTTTATCGTGTCGCAATTCCTCTGTTTCTCTATCCAGTTTAGCTGTATTTTTTGTAGTGCCATGCTGTTTATTTGTACCCGCACCATATTTTTGTTGAGTATCTACTGGTATTCCTTGACGTCGTGCTGCATTTACAGCTTGTTCAGTCTTTAAAGCTGATGCCTTTGGGGGCTTCTTGCGCAAGATGGTAACAGTGTCCCAATCCGACATTTTATTTAGTAGAATGTGATTTTTAAGTTAAATTAAGATATGCTTTTTTCACTTTATACAATATCGGGTTTGCAGAAATAGTTACGCAGACCTTAATAAAATGTGCTTGATTTTGTCATTACTTGACAATTTTTTACAGACATCAGACATTAATTAAAAGACAGACTGCTATAAAGAACCACAGACTTATTTTTTATAATATACAAGCAGACCGGCCAAGCGTTGCTGTGGCTAAGGTTTTTGTTATTTTACATAGTAGTAAACTATTCAAGGGAAAGGGTTGGAGAACACCAGTCATGGGGACCACCATGCTTTTTTGGTGGTTATGCCATTAAATTGTAGCTTATGTGAAACGTTGGTACTTTCAACACAGCGCCATCTGTTAGAATTGTGACTATCAAATAATAAACAAATATTTTGCAATAAAATAATATTGCGGGTATAAATTGAGATGTAAGCTATCCTATCTTTTAAGTTGGATCAAACTTCACACAGTGTGCAAATTTGATTGATATCGGTTCGGTAGTTTAGGAGTCTATAGCGGACAAACAACGTGACTTGTAATTTATATATATTAAGATAGGCAATCCTCAGAAATGTTTTAATATATAATATTACAATTTATTTAACTGTGCCTATTTATATTATATGCTAGAAATTGATAAATTTAATAAATAAATCTGCCCCTACCTCATCTTCTTCGCAAAACTACAATAACTATTTCATTTTTAAAAAGGAGCTCTGTCCATAGCCATTCTCTACTTCAGATAATCTGTAGAGCGCGCGAAGTATTTTTCTAATGGTAAGAACACAGATTACTATGAATCACCATTGTAATAAAAAAGTGTTGAATAGCGGAATAAAACATTTCCCTTGCATTTCAGAAGTGTGCAAATAAATAAAACACATGAATTAAAAATCTGAAAAGTAAAATCTTAAAATGTCCTTCTCATTTGGATCTACTGCTTCTCAAGCTACTCCGTTTGGGTCAAGTTCTAAACGTAAGCCGAATTTAATACATTTAACTTCAACAATTTCTGTGTTATTAAGAATTATATCTACATTCTAGCATCATTTTCATTTGGGAGTACTAACACTGCTACAACAAGTCAAGCAGGATTTAGTGGATTTGGAACTAGTACCACTTCATCAGGTTTTGGTAGCTTTGGTTCAACTTCAACTGCCTCAGGTACACACACTGTACTTACTTGTTTATTTTCTTAGTCTTATAAATATTAAAAATTCACCCTATTGCCTTATTACCTATTTTCTTTAAATAATAGTTGTTTTATAGCAACACCCTTTGGTGGCCTAGGAAGCACTCCAGCGTCTACAGCCCCATCCCTGTTTGGGGGTACCACTTTTGGAAATACAGCTGCTAAACCAAATACAGGTCTATATATGAATATTTTGTACATTCACAATAATCCCCCTATATGGGTTGTGTCTGCGTATTGTAACTGTTTCTTTAATTATTTTATAGATAAGTAGGTTACCTTTCATAAAATTTGGTAACATTCTTCTTGTAAGACAACACCGGTCCTCTAACAGTGTTAGCAATGTGTTTATTTCCCATATGAAAAGAAAAATAAATTGGTTCACTGCTGATATTTGAATGTTCTCTTTGTATCCTGAATTCGTCAGGTTTAAAATTTACATTGCTAAGCCATTGCTCTTATTTAGTTTTAACTGATATTTTGGAATAGTTTACTTGAATGAATTGACAACTCAATTAATAAACTAACATACATTCTAGGATTTGGTACAGGAACTTTTGGAGCAAATACTGGATTTGGCACTGGTACGTCAAATTTTGGTAGTACAGCACCATCATTTGGAGCCAACACATTTGGCACAGGATCTACCTTTGGATCAACATTTGGTAAACCAACAACAACAGGATTTTCTGGATTTGGCACTGGACTCGGAACCACTTCAGCATTTGGGCAACAGCAACAACCACAGCAACAGGTTTTTATAATATTACTTTATATATTAGAGAATGGATTGGTGGGACAAATAACTAAATTAGCATATTACATAAGCAACTAAAATATCCTAATTTTTTATTAAAAAACAGACTTATACAATTTAACAGATTGACATAAAGCATTACATAAAAGTTAATGGTGGCTGTGGACTTTTAAGCCACCCAATGTTGTAAGTTTCCATATATGGCACAAAGCCTAACATATTTGGTTTCCTCATCTTTCAGTCGGGAAATGGGCATAATTTTTATTTCTTAATATTGTTAAAAATGTTAATGATTCAACAATGCAAGCAAAGTTGCAGTCTCTAACCGCGACTAAGGCCAGCAACTATTCGCTCTGGAAAATCACCTGTTCTTGTAGCCGACCTAACAAATCAAAAGCCCCAATTAAAAAGGAAAACGGCTGGGCGAGAACAAGCCAGGACAAAGCAGACTTGCTTGCGAACTAACTAACAAGCTCCTTTAAACCTAATGTAACACTGGACAACTCATCAGAAGAATATGTTGACCAAGTTCTAAATCCCTTCAAATGGATCTTCCCCCAAACCTGTGTCACCTGCAGAAGTCATAAAAACTATAAAATGCCTGGACAGTAAAAAGGCACCAGGTTACGACCTGATGGAACTACCGAGTATTTGCAATCTATTGATGGAACTTCTGAATCAATAACTATTGATGGTACTACCGAAAAAGGCACACCTTCATCACTATACTCTTCAATGCCATGTTACGAATAGGCTACTTCCCAATTGCGTGGAAAATCTCGGAAATCATCATGATTTATAAGGCTGGCAAACTGATGACCGAAAAAACATCCTACCGACCAATCAGTCTGTTGCCTACTCTAACCAAGGTATTGGTAACGACAATACTTAGCAGAATTGTGCCAGGCTTCGTGGAGCGCAAAGTGATACCAGATCATCAATTCGGCTTAGACAGCAGACAATACCATGGCACAGTGGAACAAGCTCACCGAGTATGTGACGTCATAAGAAAGTCCTTAGAACAAAGGGAATACTGCTCATCAGCGTTTCTGGATATCCAACAAGCATTTGACAAGGTCTGGCACAAAGGCCTACTATGTAAGATCAAGCAGAATATTTCCCACTCTTACTTTCCAATATTCAAATCTTACCTAGAGGATCGCATTTTATGTCAAAGAAGGTGACGCCACTTCGGAATTTCAAAACATTGATGCCGGGGTACCACAAGGATCTGTTCTCGGCCCAATGCTCTACACGTTGTACACTGCTGACCTGCCGCTATTGCCAGGAATAACCACAGCAACATTTGCAGACGACACCGCTATATAGCAAGCAATAAAGACCCAGGACTTGCATCAGAGGACTTGCAGAAGGGCCTTGACAAAGTTAACGAATGGCTGCAAAATGGAAAATAAAAGCTAGTGCCGCGAAGTACACGTGACCTTCACCCTTAGAAGAGGAGACTGCCCACCTGTAAAGTTGGACCAATGTATTCTGCCCCACAGCGACCATGTAAGATATCTTGGCTTACACATTGATCGTGGATTAACGTGGAGGCCACCACATCAAATGTAAAAAGCAGGAGCTACAGCTAAAGTACAACAGCCTTTACTGGATGCTAGGAAGAAATTCAAGACTTTCTATAGATAACAAACTTCTTATATATAAAGTCATCCTAAAGCCCATTTGGACATATAGCCTCCAACTGTGGCAAGTGATACAAACATAAATGTACTCGAGCGACAACAGAACAAGATCCTAAGAGCAGTTGCAAAAGTACCATGGTACATAACCAACAACGAAGTTCACGGACACCTTAAAATGAGAACTATCAAAGAGGAAATCTGGAGACTGGCAGCTAAATACAAAGAGCGGTTAAGCTGTCACCCGAACGAACTTGCTCGCCAACTCACTATTAGACAGTATGTGAGTCGACTCGAAAACGTCACAAAAAAAAAATTCAATATTATAGTATAAAAATAAAATATGTTTATTATGGAATATAAGATACAGGTATCACTTATTCCACGTCATTAAATTTGAATAGGTAGGCTTCCCTACTCATCAGCAAAGAAGACAGAGGGTGTATTCCGAGAGAAAAAGCCGGCGTAAAAAACTCTCGGTACTTTTTTAAAACAAATATCGTAAATTAATTAGAAGTAGCCTGTCTAGCACTAGTCCCAGGCCCTTTTATCAACTAGATAATCGTTAACTTTATAGTAAGTCTTTTTACACAGCTTTTGTTTAATACATTTCTTAAATTTATTAAAAGCTAGGAGATAAAAGAGCCTCTGGGATTTTATTGAAGAAGAGTGTCCCTTTTCCCAAAAAAGAATTACTAACTTTAGATAGTCTAGTACGGAGAATTTCAGCCTGCGTTTGTTCCTAGTATTAACATTGTGCGTTTGTTCTATGCTAGTAAACTTATCACTATTTTTGTATACACACATATTATTTTCATAAATATATTGCGAGGGAAAGGTAAGTATATTAATTTCCTTGAATTTATCTCTCAGAAATTCCCTTCATTTTAAATTATAGATTGCACGAATAGCCCTCTTCTGCAGGATAAAAATAGTTTCGACATCAGCTTAGAGACATTAGATAAGTTTTCTCAACACTTTATAGACCAGGACCTTCTTAAGGTATACATTATAGCCCATGGGTAAACACTGACCTGGATGGTATTTATTAAAAAACCTTAAAGAACAAGCATAATAATTCTCCATGATCTGTTTATTTGAAGGTTTTCCTAAAGCATTTTTTTGTTTCCCAGGAATTAGACCCATACTAATGGGTCTGGGTGGTATGGAGAATATTTCTTAGTTATAACAATTTCTGTTTACTTACTAATCCTTGACAGTTGGGTGTTTATTTATAGTGGTTAAATTAAATTTCAGCAACAGCAGCCCCAAGGACCAACAAATGCCCATGAAGCACTTGTAGCTGCTGTGTTCAATTGCAATGTATTTGGAGATGAAAGGGACCAAGTTTTAGCTAAATGGAATTTATTGCAGGCTCAATGGGGCACTGGTAAATATTATTTTAATACTTCTTGATCCTAGCTTAAAATAATACCTAAGCCTTTTTCCTATTTCATTATTTAATATATCCCTAGTCAAAAATAAATAAATCAGTCTAATTGCACAGTTAACTAAATTACTAGTTTCTCTCTTTCTGTCAAATTGTGTTTATGCTATGGTGAAAAGGGACGGGATAAGTTTATATGAATAAGGGTGCATATATATATTTTTTGCAGCAATATCTGCCTCATATATTTATATTCCTAATAATATAGGTCCAAAAACTTTTATGTATTTACAATTACGAAAATTAAAATTTTTTTAGGTTGTATTATTGTTTTTTATGTATTCTTTAATTTAAAAGATAAGTTCATGGAGGTTTCTAAATTTTTTTTCCTTGTAAATAAAACTTAATTTTACTGAACACAAGTTAAACTATCAATAAAGGATTTAAAAAAACTTACAACCCAAATTGATTAAATAATATAATATTCTTGTGTACAAAAGTTTCATAATTGTAATATAATGATATATCTGGTACCATTCTTTTCCATTACTATGGACTTTCATTCACCGTATTTAAATGAATACTATTAATACTATTCTTCTTTTATTTTCAGGTCAAGCTTACTATAATAGAAATGCACAACCGCTTGAGTTAAATGAACAAAATCCATTATGCCGGTTCAAGGCTGTGGGATATTCAAGGCTTGGCGGTAAAGAGGACAAAGATGGACATGTCGCTATGATGTTTAACAAACCAGAACAGGAAATAAAGTATGTACATGTAAGAAAACAAGATTTAAATAATGCTTAAAATATATACTGTGCAGAAATTAATTTGTAATTCAAAAATTGGTAGTTAATTCAGATAAAACTATTATTATATATTATATTATTTTCATTTAAATAAATTTATTAGTAATGTAAGTAAATAATATTGCTTAGTGAGACAGACAGATTTCTGTATTGTTTGGTAATGATTTCTTAATAGGCAAGTGGAGGCCTAAGTATTGAGAGTTATTTATTTATTTATTTTTCTTATTTCCTATTTTTACAGTAACTAAATACTAATACAATAGAAAACTAAACTTAAAACATAATAAGTAAAAACTTAAAACCTAAACCATTTTATAACTAATTATAAATAATGCAATTCTTGTGAATTCAGCGAGTGTGCAACTAAATATATCCGTCTCACAAGCAAGACAAGCGTAAATGGTGCATCTCTGAGTAAGCTAGTACGCGCCCGAGGCACTGCCAGCAATTGCGACCGCTTACCCCGCCGAGTGTGGTTATTTGGCATACGCAGCCCCAGTCTCTCCAACATTTCCGCATTATATATTTTACCTCTGAGGATTAATACCTATAATTGTACAATATAGTAATTGTAATAGAAAAGTAATATAATCGCGGCGTGGGAAAAATTAATTACATATTTAGGTCAAAAGGGAGGCCGGGATATGTATAGTATACATGTTAGATGATTGCCATATTCGTCCGTTTTAAGTAAAATCGGTTCGGTACTCGTTGTTTTGTTAGTAAGCGAACAAAAAGTACCTACTAAATGTAACGTGCATCTTAGTGCGGTAACTGAAAACTTTGCAAATTGTATGAAAAGTCAATATGTATAAATATACTCGAATACATAACGAAACTATCATAATTTCGTGCAAAGGCTTCAGGGTTCAGTTTTTGATCACATTACAAAATACATAATGTCAATATTGTTGATACAAGTTCTTTTATGTATTCCAAAATGAGTTTTTAATTTCAGGAGCAATCAGCAGGGATTTATTACTTCGTTGGCTGGCCTTCTTGGCAATAAGCCGAATTTAGTTGCCAATATCGAGACTGTCAAAGCCGTGTCAGATAAAAAATGTCAGGTGAGAAATTAATTACTGAAATCGCCATATTTTTCAATTATTTTTGCATAGATTTTGTAATAATTTTAAGTATATTTTTTATTGAAATCGAATCTATATATAGTAGCATTTATTTAACAATCTAGTTGAAACTTAGCGCAAAGTGTGACTTAGGTATGTCAAAAAAGTAATAAATTTGACTCTTAGTACTGTTTTGTCTCTTTCTATAAAATGAAAGACAACAACAAATTTAAGAGTGAAGAGACACTTTAGTTAAAATGGTGCTGTTAGGCTTTTATTTTTTATAAATAAAAGAGTTACTCTTATTTAAGTACTATATACATATCGTCACTGTAGAATGATAACCTCGTATGTCTAAAAATTTATTTTTTATTCTTAGACTCATGTCATTTAGCTGGTATAATCATGAAGTAAGGACTTATTAATGTTATTAATAAATAAGTCCTTTTTACCATCTAAAACTATGGACAAAAACACATAATAATATTTAACGAACATGGAGAATTAAAAAAAATCGTTTAAAATAAAAAAAATAAAAAATAAAATATGTTTATTATGGAACATAAGATACATGTATCACTTATTCCACGTCATTAAATTTGAAGGCATCCCTACTCATCGGCAAAGAAGACAGAGGGTGTAGGCCGAGAGAAAAAGCCGGCGTAAAAAACTCTCGGTACTCTTTTAAAACAGCAAATCATCAAACAACACTTATTTAAAACAAATATCGCAAATTGATTAGAAGTAGCCTGTCTAGCACTAGTCCCAGGCCCTTTTATCAACAAGATAATCGTTGACTTTATAGTAAGCCTTTTTACACAGCTTTTCTTTAATACATTTCTTAAATTTATTGAAAGGCAGTGATAAAAGAGCCTCTGGGATTTTATTAAAGAAGAGTATCCCTTTCCCCAAAAAAAGAATTACTAACTTTAGATAGTCTAGTACGGGGAAATTGCAGCCTGCGTTTGTTCCGTGTATTAACATTGTGCGTATGTTCTATTCTAGTAAACTTATCACTATTTTTGTAGACATACATAATATTTTCATAAATATATTGCGAGGGAAAGGTAAGTATATTAATTTCCTTGAATTTATCTCTAAGAGATTCCCTACATTTTAAATTATAGATTGCACGAATAGCCCTCTTCTGCAGGATGAAAATAGTTTCGACATCAGCAGCATGACCCCATAATAATAAGCCATAAGTCATTAAGCTATGAAAGTAACTAAAATAAACAAGTCTAGCTGTATCGACATCAGTTAGTGAGCGAATTTTTTTAACCGCGTAGGCTGCAGAACTAAGTCTCTTCGCCAATCCGTTAATATGAGGGGACCACTGAAGTTTTGAATCCATGGTGATTCCGAGAAATACAGTTGTATCATCCAGATTCAATTCCTCACCGTTTATAATTGGTCTAGTATCCATAACCCTTGCATTTTTTGCACAAAATTTAATGCATTTTGTCTTTTTTGCATTAAGTAGAAGGTTATTCATACTAAACCAATGGACAATCGAAGACAGAGCATTGTTCACATCGTCAAAATTTGTTATTTGTCGTTTGATTTTAAAAATCAAGGACGTGTCATCAGCAAACAAAACTATCTGATGTTTTCTCTCTACCATGAAAGGTAGATCATTTATATAAACAAGAAAGAGGAAAGGGCCAAGAATTGAGCCCTGTGGTACCCCCATATCTACTGCCGACCCAGAGGACCTCTTACCATTCACTACAACCTTCTGAGTTCTTCCGTGTAAATAGGAAGTCAGAAGATTCAGTGCGGTATTCTTGATGCCATAGTGGCGGAGTTTCTTGTAATGTTTGGTTCTCTGGACATACGAGGTTATCATTCTACAGCGACGAAAACAACTATTAGTAAACACTCATGATTTTTCTGTATCTGTATATATAGAAAAAAGGGTGCGTGTACTTATGTGCGCGCGTAAGAAGTTATACTTCTTTGGCATTATTAAAAATAGTTTTTGATTGCATGCAAATAATTAATTACAATTAAATAATCAAAGACTGGAAAAGGAGTCATTATAGTCAATAAAGTTCAGTTTACATTTGAAAAATTAAATAAATAAATATTTATTAATACTATATTTATTATTATTTTCTAAAATTATTTAGTATTGATTTAAATATTCAATTTAAATCACTTCTGATTATAATTCAGACGCACATAACACAAATTCAAATTTAATGACGTCCACGTCATTAAATTTGATAATATAATATATTACTTATTATATTATGTATCTTATGTTCCTTAATAAACATATTTTATTTATTTTTATTTTATTCATATAAAATTCGCACTTGTATAATGAAAACACGTGTTTTAAATGTAGAAACTCAAATGTGGATAAATATTATAAATATAAATACACAGTGAACAGAGGCGGCGTGCGCGCCAACATGCGCCACTAACTTCATTCAGTTAATTTTGTGTCACGGTGCGCGCGCATCGTAAAATTTCACTCTCATAAATTTTTCATAACGCGCCTAAAGAAGTATAACTTCAAAAATATTTTATTAAGCGAAAGTTGAACATAAGCAGAATATTGATGTATTTTTTAAGTAAGACGGGAGAATGTCCATGACAAGTTCATTTCTAAATTTTTACCATTAATTGAATTAGAGTCGTCTAGAAGATAATGCCATAGGTTTTAAAAAATAATTAAAATAATTAATTAGCATTCTTATAATTTCCAGGTGGTGGTATACATAGTGGATAAAGGTGCGGGTGGGTGCCATATTAACGCGTCTGAATTGAGCTCGTTTCTCAACAATGGAGCGGCTCGGAACACACTGACTGGTGCGGGATGCACCAGCATAACCCCAGTTACAAGACCAACGCCACAGATGTTAGATCAGTACTTACAGGCTCCACCGCCAGGTATTGCTTGATTATTTTTTAGAATTTTTTTTTGACAAAGTTATTATAGTTAGTTCGATCCCAGCAAAGACTTTGAATCAATGCAGTGGTCATTTTACCTAATACGAATAATAGGTATTTTGGTATCACTACATTAAACCTTTGATATGCTTTCAGTATAAAGTAGTTTTGTTTTGTATATGTGTTTAGAAATAGTTTTCATAAAAAAATTGTTTTTCGACGAAATTCTATCACAGTTTTCCAAAATCACGATGTGTTGTTAAAAGAAAATGTGTCAATCAGTACCAATAATAAAATTCTGGATCACAGAATTAAAATGCGTTCAATTATTATAAAACCCAACTCGCGATCTCTACAAAGAGCTCGGTCGTTATTCAACAAGTGCCTATGCGGGACAATGCGACAAACATAATTATTATAACACTAGAAATGGTTAATTTATGACATGTAAATAAAAAATAAACATATTTCTAGGTATGGATATGCGCCTTTGGAAACAAGCTCAAGCTGACAACCCTGATCCAGAAAACTACATTCCTGTGCCCATTATTGGATTTTCTGAGGTATTTAATAATTTATTAGCGGACCCGACACACGTTGTCCTGCAGGATATTTCAAGCGATTAGGATATTAAACAAAGTACCGACTGTAGCGCCATCTGTCGGGCTGATTTTTAAATCTTAACCATTCAAGGATCAACCCCACCCAAAAAATCATTCAAATCTGTTCAGCCGTTTAAGAAAATTTCAGTGACATACACACGTACAGTAGAATTTTATATGTATATGTAAGCTATCCTATCTTTTAAGTTAGATCAAACTGCACACAGTGTGCAAATTTGATTGAAATCGGTTAAGTAGGAGTCCATAGCGGACATAAAACGTGACAGCCCGTTCCCACTAGTCGTAAGTCGCATAAGACTAAAAGTCGAATGCTCTGGTCACCATACACTTTATATGGAGCTGTTCACATTATATGAGACGCGACTTTTAGTCTAATACGACTCAAAATACCATCCGACGGGCCAGCGCCCGTTTTAAGACTAAAAGTCGCGTCGAATCGTGCTCGCATAGGTGCCTGCTTGTTGCTGTTCACACTAGTCGTGCGTCTAATCGACTCGAGCGCGTTGTTACCTCTCTCCCCGCCCCGCTTCCTAGATCGCTACACAATGCTTGCTCACTCCTTTCGTGTTTTATTCCGAATGGCACGAAACTACGATCTATACGACTCGCGACGCAGTGTGAACAGGGACATCAGACTTTCGACTTTTAGTCTTATGCGACTTACGACTAGTGGGAACGGGCTGTGACGCGTAATTTATATATATTAAGATGATATACTGAATTCCGAAATTGTTTTAATTAATTTTTGAAACTTGTTCACTCATATGTGTTGTTATCGTTTTAATTTTTTATTATTTTCCTTCATATTGGTCCTGCTCCTTGTATGTTATAAATGACAAACATTAATTATTTCTTTTAATTTTATAATCTTTATAATTATTAGTTTGTGCGGAAAGTCAACTGTGGCGGTTGTGCGAATTGCGCATTTTGTAAAACGTTACGATGCGGGGCGAACTGAAGAGTCACTAGGTGGTCACGAAACGTTTTACTATACTTGGGTACAGTACTGTACTTGGGTACTGAAACATGTTACGGCGAGTTACATGGGGGAGGTGGGGTCAATAATCTCCAAAAATTGCGTTATTTAATCGGCTGTTTTTATTAGACTAGTTTCATGTATTAAAATGTGTTTTTCAGTAGTTATTGCTTGTATTTAAAAAAAAATGCGTGAGGTATGATTGCTTAATTGTGAATGTTTGTATTTGAGATGTTTATAAAACTGTCCCATCCTTGTTTATCTATTCCGTCGTTGTATTATTTATGTCTGAACAGATCAAATTCCGTGCACAATGCCAAACATCAGAGTCTGGTCTGCAAGCCAGCTATCTTCGTAAAGCGTCTGAAACATTGAGCGAATTGCGCACGCGTCGTGCCGCATCCGCAGCGACTCTTGCGCAGCTAACAGCGCGATTTCACTCCTTGAGACACACTTTATTGCAGGTGGGTTTGATATAATATTTATTTGTGGTATATTTACATATCAAGCTTAGTAGGATTTTAGAGTAAGAGTCGAGAGAATGTCAAATCCAATACCTTTTGACATACGAAAGTCAAACTTAGCGTTAAGGCAAAGTCGAATCCATCTTTCTCAGGAAGAACAGAATAACAATTCATTACCTTTCAACGATCACTAAAATAAACCAGACATTTCCAATAGCGCTTTGAACAAACTTTAAGTTTATTTTTTATCTTGAAACAGACATACTTCAGCGTTTTACAACAAGTTAGTTTTAAGCTTAGGTTTCCTTGAAAAGCGGTGCCGTTATCTAACGGCCGTAATGTAACGTTGGGTAACGTCACCCATACGTTGTCTATAAATAACATCGGAGTAGGTTTCCTAGAGAGCGTTGAGTGTCACTGTAACGTCAAATAGCGGTGCTGTCATCTGCATGACGGCCATCATAGCGGTGATAAACATTAGTTCAACGTTTAGCGCGCGTAGCGGTGCCCATATATAATTAATACAATGAGTGGAAACGTGACTTAAACGAGCGAAAATGATGTTTTTTTGCATTATGTTAAAAAGTTAAGACGGCCGTTATTAACAACCGCTAAATGGCGGCCGTTAGTTAACGGCACCGCTTTTCTAGGAAACCTTAGCTTTACCGGGAATTCGAGATCTATGAGATGTGTACTATGCCATGGTGGTCACAACGTAATGTAATAATTTAATTAACTTGACGTCAATGCCACACAAAATTAAAAGTTGTGGGCTAAAATAATTGTAGTGTATAGCTAAAAAAGTACCGACCTAAAACAAGTTTACGGTCAAATAGGAGAAAATAAATAAATTTTATAATTTTATAACTCAAATATCCTACTATATTTCATTTTCAATAGCAAAGATTTTAAATGAATTACTAGGTGATTGCACGCCAAGAAGTCCTCGGACGTGTCGGCGCAGCTTTAAGTCCCGAGGAAGAAGCGTCTCGAGCGAGATTACAAGAATTAGCCACGCAACTGGCGGCTCCGCCCCTCTATAATGTAAGTACTGAAAGGAGGCAGGCCTCCATACAATTTTTATTATTATTTCTTTTTCAGGCTTGTAAAACACAGTTCTCAATACATTTGGAGCCTGAGATATATGTTCTTATAACTTGTTTTATTATAATAATTATTATTGGTATTTAAGGTCAACATTTGTTAATTTGTTTGTCAATACTATTCTGTACTAATATTATAAAGAGGATGCATTTGTATTTTTGTAATCTGCCCTCATAAACCAAAACATAGAATACATTTAAAAAATACTCTCTTAGTTAAAATGTCGGTTATTTAATCTTTTGATTGAGGAATTTGACTTTGTGCACTAATCGTGGTTGTAAGAAATATTTTTATTTAGTTTTTCCGTTGTGGTTAAAAATGTCTAATAACATTCTTATTTCATTCATATTTACCGGATTAGGGGTACACGATCGCACATATAAAAAAGTAAAAACATCACTTAAAAATTACCTTCAATGTAATTTACACTGTTTTCAATAAAATAGTGCCATTTTATCGGATTTTGTTTACGCTGTTGTAAAAAAGACACAGTATCATAAAAAAATTATGAGCTCAGTATAGAAACTAAAGTTAATTGGTTAACAGCTGGGGTTCGAACCTACGATTCCTGAGATGGGAGTCACACGCATAAAAGTGTCTAGGCTAAAAGTGCTCGTTGCTTTTAACACTTGCTCGTACGGTAAAGAAAAACATCGTAAGGAACTGGCATGACTTAGACACAAAAATTCTACGGTGAGTGTTACGCACAGAAGGCTGATCACCTACTTGCCTTTTAGTAAAAACGAATGATCACGAAACAGATAAAGAAATGTGAGAACAAATAATGGCTGAAGCGCTACTGGTTTTTTTTTTGTATTAAACGAGAGAGAACGACGAAATCTTATTACTGATTTTATGGTAGACGATATAAAAACTTAAAACTATTAATTAAATATTCTTGTTAACCAAAGAAAGTTAATAGAAACGTCATCTCTTGGTCTACGACATTCCTATTCATAATATTTTATTGTAAACAACTATAATATTTCTTTGTCACTACGTCCTTTAGTCAATAAAATATACGTGTGCATATAATAATAAATATACAGGATGTATACTGGGGTTAGACGTACAATATTCACTAATAATAACTATAGGTGTACGTAAAATTATAACTTTTGCTTAACTAAATGGGAAATTTATACTACAAAGAAATTATGGCATGTAATGTTGGTCTATATCAGTAATATACAAAAGTTTATCTTTTCACTGTCTGGAGATAATTTTTAGTAATTTTCGATAAGCATAATTTGGAAAAAAATACTTGGTTTCAACCGTCAGTTGAATAATGTAAAAAATATTGTTCTAATTGAAAACGCTTATAAGATTTTTTAGTCTAAAAGACTAAAAATTGTTGGTTTAGTTCAATCCTCGGTATCTCTAGTGAGTCTAGTCTCGGTGCTAGAATAGAAGCCCTTATTTTAATTTTATGAATAGAACTTAATTCATATATGTATCAATAGATTGCCATTTTAAAGATTAGTTAATAGAACATTTTTCAGTCCTTTTCGTACTGAATTAGATCCGTGATCCGTGGACTTTATCGCTTGGATATGACAAAAGATAAAAAATACCAGTCATCAATTACCTAAAACCTCACTGCTTGGCATTCACTTGCCGCGTGTTGTTATCGGTCTTATCTCCAGACGTTTGCATAGACATCGTTTGTGGTACGTGCGTTTTATCTACGGAGGTTTTGCAAAATTACATTGTCATTCAAAATTTACTTTAATTTATGTAACAATTGTATTTAAACAATTAAAAATCTTAGTCTGGCATTATGAAGCATATATAAGTGGCTAAGTTTTAGTCACATTTGATGCGAAGTTACACGGGGATCTGACATGCAATTACCAAATCGATAATTCGTTATACAATTTTTATAAGAATTCGTAAGTGAATTCCAAAATTTTGGATGTAAATGAAACCAAATATATTGCGGGTCGTAATGCTTGCTTGTTAATATAATTATGCTTATATCTATATCAACATTGTGGATTTTATTAAATAATAAGTTAGAAAAAAGAATATATAAGACTGGGTGATTTTATATATTAATAAAAACTTAAATGCTCAGCTATTCTTCTGTACGCCCACTTGTGATCTATATGTAAATTAATAATTATTTGCTTAGTTGACGCGCCACAACTTTTATTTTTGCCCATTTTGAACAAAATAAAAATCAGATTAAATTTTATATTGCCGACAAAGTACGAGCTAGCTATGCATGCTTTTTTAAAATGTTTCTAATTAGGCGTCCAAGCGGCCAGTAACAGAAAATATACTCCTACATGTGTAAGATTCATTTTGTAATTAAAAGTAAGATATTATGTTTTATATTTTATGCATTTAATGAGTTTTTATTTGAGTACGTTGAAGTTATACTTTCTTTATTCATAAGAAGTGTATACTAAAACATGCTACGTTGCTGGTAATAAAGTAATAATACAACGTAATAAACACTGAAATTATCTCAGATGCCATTATATTTCCAAATCAGGAAAAGATTGTATCTAGCTTGGAAAATTTTGAACACTCGAGAGATTATGTCCCATATACATGTTAGGGTCATAACATGATCGCGTGTTAGGTTTTATATCGGTGTTATCTAAGGAACTGGTTTTAGCCGGTGCAACAAATGATTGTCATTTTTAAATCTATAACTCATGATAATGCACTGATAAAGCATAATATAGGTGTTTGAATTCTCAATTCATACTCATCTTGCGTCAGCGTCAAACACAATTTCGCGAAGACGTTTTATGAATTTATTATTGCGGATCTGAAATCTTCTAGTAGAAAATTTGCATTTTTGTAGGCTTGTAATCAATAAACTTAAAATTACTGATTTCAAAAATTATTTCACCATAGTTTCACCATGTACATGTAACATGACTGATTCTTATCCTCATTGTTAAGAAAAATATTACTACTAAGAACTACAATTTCTAAGCGTATTTTTTTTATTTTTTTGTAAAAAATTTTGTTCGCCATAATTGTCATCTATTTTAGAATAGATAGCTTGTTACATACTGTAGAAAATGCAGTATATGTGGTGTACCAAACTTTAATAAATAATTTTCCAGCCTTGCGAAGCCAGGACAGCCCTGCGATTCTGTAACTCACTTTTCAAACTCACACAGCGGTTTTCGCATCGGCGGTCGCTCTGAAATCAGTCGTGAAGCAGTCATTTTATGATTTGGCATTCTAATAAACAATAAACTACAAGCTCCCACCTTTTCAGAATGCCAAATCATAAAATGACTGCTTCACGACTGATTTGAGAGCGACCGCCGATGCGAAAACCGCTGTGTGAGTTCGAAAAGTGAGTTACAGAATCGCAGGGCAGGCCGTGTATAATGTTCAAACGTATAGTTTACTTTTTTATTAAACAAAATTATTTTTATGCCACTTTTGTAAATTCAGTCCTGTGTATTAATTAACCATCTTTGCAAATAATTAATGTTATTGTAGTTATTGTAAAATATTTTTCTTCAAATCGCATAGATTTTGAAAATATTATACTCTCGATGGTAATAAAACTTAGATACAAGTATATTAATTATATAAATAGAAAAATAAATATTAATATGGATAATAACTTACTCACTATTTGATACAATTGATTCCAGTTTAAATCTTTTAAGTTTCAAAAAACCAATTGTTAAAAAAAGAGTATACCTACTCCTCCCCCAAAGGCCGGCAACCTCCTTTTTTAAAAAAAAAACTAGACAGAGAAATGTACCACCAAAATTTTTAAGCATAATTCAATTCATATTGCCTGTCTCGGTCGTCGTAACCTAGTTACTTAAAAATAAGTTCCTTAGCCATTTTTTCCAAATTTGTATTTTTAATTAATAATTACTATATATACATATAATTAATTAATATTTCTTGTATTCTACTTCTGTATAATTATTATTTTACATCCGTGTAGAACAGTTGACGATTCGTAGCCGATGCGCGCCTAGTAGTAGTTTGAATTTAGAATGCGTATAATAATAGTTGATAATCATTAGATATTTATAATTTAATTAGTTTCGTTACTTATTATCAAAACGATATTTATTATCTGTTTAAATAATGTTTTATCTATGGTATAATAAATGTAAGTTTGCTTTCACGGTCACAAATGAATAGTCAGGATTTGTAGTCTCTAATTGTATTTTTTTTATTACAAATATAACAAAACAGTTACGTAAGCGTCTGGTATTTACGTCACAATGCACAATGCCATTTTTTAATTTTTTGTTACCTTATCGATATTCAAATATAAATTGATTAAATTTTATGAAATTAAAGGAAAATTTATATAAAAACACGTGAATATGACGTAAATAGTTCATATCTTTCACTAAATAAGGGCCGGACGAATTTTAACAGTGGCCTATGATTTCCTTCGCAGGGTCGATTGAATGAGCTATTATGTGCGGTGCGACTTCAGCGCAGCGCCAGTGCGGGCGCACCTTATGAGAGATATCATTTGGACCCAGGTAATAAAAAATATTATTTGAAGATTCTTATTCTGTATTTGTTACTGTATCATTTTTCTGTAATAATTGTGAATTCACACCTATACATTATTTATTCCCGAAAATATTGATAATTTTTAATTTTAATTATTTTTATCATTTAGGTGCGCAAGAAGACGTGAAGCAATTCCTGTCTTTCCAACAACGTGGTATGGCCCATTTGATGGATACAGCTAAAACAGATCTTGCAGCCCTCAACACTATCGCAGAGGGGATGGCCAAACTTGTCCGGGCCTAGCACTCCGCCCCACAATTACGAGACATACACATATGCTGGTACACGTAGGATATCAATTCCAAGTCCACTCAAATCTTGCCCAAAATGTAGCCGACTATGGACGGGTACTAAGGTTAAGAGATTTAATGCTTACTCTTGCATGTTAAAGTTCTAAACGCTCTGGAAGTCTGATTAGTCATTGTTGATCAATAAATGAAACCATTGAGTGTATTTTATAAGTTTTAATATTTTTTGTCTTAAATTCCATATTATAAAGCCAGTGAAAATATCTTCTTGCAAATATAAAGAAGGTTGAACACGTGGAGTATGTATTTGCAACGTTTATATCATACGGGAGCCATACTTAGCGTTTAGGCTCTAAGAGTCTCTATAAATATTAACTTTTTTGTTATCATTCTTGAAACTAGAACTTTGCTATTTTCAGTATATTAAATTTGTACAATTGTAATTCTGTAGTTATGTTTCATACATAATTCAGTGAATTATATTTTTCAATAAATTTTACTACAAAAACAAGTTTTTTAATTTTCTTATAAATTATTACTACTTTCTTGATATAATTGTAGCACATATCAGGAATCCTTATTAATGATATATCAGTAGGTGAGTAAAACGAGTGTTAGCATAAATAATTTATATTAATGTAACAACTAACTTTTAGTACTTAAATCTAAGGGTAACTCCGTATGCCTCAGTACTTCAATTGGTCTGCATTGCACACGTTTAGCACACATTAAATTCAATGGAACATCTGAATTTTCTGGAAATGAATTTGCCACGTCACTTTCATAGTATTGAGGCTTGTAAAGAGGGTAATCCTGTGTAGAGTAACTCAACGCGTGATCATACATTCTGGTATATACTGGATAGGTTTCTTGAGGTTCCTTATACAATGGGTCAGTTCGGATATATGTTGGGTGGTAGTTCATAGGATACGTTTCTGAAATATGGTATGCGTATGGTGATACCCTATGGTCGATCACAGGTTCTATAGTTTCGCGCATTGGGGATATACTTTCAGCTCGCGTTGCTAATTTTGGATTCTCCTTCTCTGTGAAGTGTTTGTATGCCTTGACGTGTTTGCGCAAACTGGACGGGTCGGTGTAACGTTTCGTGCAACCTGGTGCTTTGCAGCAGTACGGCTTGTCTACTTTGTGGGTCCGTGTGTGTTTGAAACGATCGCTAGAGTTTGAATATGCTTTGCCGCAGCCCTGTGAAACAAAATAAATAAATTACTAAATAATCGACGTCGCATGTAATAACATTAAATCATTAAGTGGTTGCCTAAAAGATAGGAGACAAATTATCATACGCAAAAATACAGTACAAGACCTATTTGGATACGGGACTTTACTTTAATTGATAGCAAGAAGATAAACAAAACAGATGGGTTCAAATAATATTTACCTCATATGGACAGACGTAAGGTTTTTCCCCGGAATGCGAACGTAGATGAATCTTGAGGTTCTCGGCCCTTGAAAAGCTTTTCTGGCATTGATTGCAAGTGTGAGGACGTTCGTTAGTGTGAATTCTCATGTGCACTATCATTTTGTATCTGTAAAGAAAATCTGGTTAGTTTATTACATATCATAATTATTGTGCTATTGTTAATAATTTTCTTAATTATTTCAATTTTAGAGAGGTTTTTAACTAAGTCTACTTAAAAACAAGAGAATTATAAAAAAAATTACCTTGCATTAAAACCTCTTTGAGATCTTGTGCACCCCCTCCAACAGCAGTAGAAATATCCATCGCTATGCGCGTGCGCATGGACTCTAGCTACGTGTGCCGACAGACGAGAAACGGAATCAAATCTTACGCCGCATCCTCTCCATTCGCATATGCATTCATCTGATCCCGAATCATTGTTTCTCTCTGGTGACAAACTTCCACAGGAGTCACTGTCCGAAATCTAAATAAAAAAAATTTGATTAAAAATCTATAAGTAGATTATATACAGAGGAGTAGTCTGGAGTTGATGGTGTTTAAGTATGGCAGATATCTTATATTTTTTTATACACCTAAATATCTAAGACATTTTATTGCTGTCTAGTTATTGTATTAATAACGCACCTGTGGTGGTGGGGGTGGCACCGTAACAGATCGAGCGACATATGGCGCGAAACGTTCAGTTGGAATCCATGGTACTCTGCAACCCTCGTGCAATTCTGGTCTCCACGTCGGAAAGAGCAACATTTTAATAACAGTGGTCACTACACAATCGCTGTGTAAAATGAAGTGTATCTACAACGTTGCCTATTTATAATGTCTGCCAGTGATATAACGCTGATAAGGAATCCCCTGCGAATATCGCTTAGATTACCGCTAACGCTCACAACAAAACTATTTGAGCCTACTTCGAAAATTTTAATTAAAAATGAATTTATGCACGTGTGTACACGACTGAGAGTTTGGTATAAAGTAAATGATGTTGTAATGTTATCAGAAGCCGCTCGCTTCGGCCTGTGTCCAGTTAATACCAGTATGATAGGCCTCAGTTCATAGGTGACTGATACCGCCGTGTTTATGTTATGCGACCTCAGTCTTCATTGGGGATTGGGCGTTTGGCAAATCAAATTTTGCTATTGCAATATTGCTCATAGGTGGCATTGTTTTATGAAAAATAGCAATAACCCACTTCTACGTAGAATTCATGACTACCTTCGTCACTTGTTGCGCATAATTTCTCACAAAAAAATATTCTTTCAAGTTGGAATATACTGTATCCGTGCATATTTGGCTTTCTGATTCATGATATTGTATAAGAAGAAAGAGATTAAGGAAATCCATTTTAACGGGTACCTTGAAAGGTCAAAACGAGAAAGTAAAATGTAGACATCAACTGGTACTTTAGAACTTAATTTCAACACAAGTCTAGAATAAACAATGAAGTGTCCTGCGTCACAATGAATGTTGCGCTCATTATATTCTCGATTGAACGAGTTATTCGTTATCAGTGTGCGTGTGTGAGTAGCGTACGTGTGTACGTGCATTATATTGTGTGGATCGCCGCGGCCCCCTGCGGCCGGTGCGTGCGCTGGTTTCAGCCGGTTGTCTTATCTTTAACTCTTGTTATGACGAACTATTGACGTAATTATCACAGGCCAGTTTTTAATTGTTGTGTATCTAATGAAAAATTCTTTTTATATCCAGGAAAATATTTTTTAATAGTCATTTTACCCAGCCAACTACTACCACAATATTATGTTATCTAGGAATCTGGCTAACTGCAAACTGTAAGTTGAAAAGTAATAGTTTTGTATCCGGTGACACAAAATACAATGAGTATCGTATGTCTTTATTGGACATTTGACGTATTTATGTTATATATGCCACCTACTTATAGTCAAATCTTGGTCTCTCCCTGGTGTTTTGAACAAGAGCATAAACGTGCAAGTACATTGCTTATGTCGTTGAAGCCAACTTTGACTCCAGCCTAGATTAAACCGGTTGACTGTTATCTGTTGTTTCCAAGCGTTAAATATTTCATCATGAGCAAAATACTTTGTCATGGTTGTTTTTGCAAGTGATTTGGGGAGGAAAGAAATTCTTTATGCGCGGGAAGAACAGTAGACTTAGAAGAAACTTATGCAAAGATAATTTGTTTATAAAAAGAGGTAAATTTGGCGCTGTATAGTAATGACCTTACAGTGATAGTTTTAAATGTTTAAATGGATATAATTGGGAAAGTAATTTACGGATTTTTTAAGTCCCTCGGAACTTCATAATATGCTATAACATATTAACCACTGCTTATTGAAAAAATTATCCGTGAAGGATCGAGGTGGTACCAAATGTAACTAGTTCCATCTTGACAGTCTATAACTTTGTGGAATGCGTTTTTAATAAAATGCAGTGGGTACTGACAACCTTGTGAACTGTTAGTGCTGGTAGAATGCTATTTCCGCATGAATCTGATTTTAATGTGAAGATAAGCAATTTCGTTAAACATAAACTTCATAGTGTATGGAGTTATTTTGTTTAGTTTTTGAGATAAGTTCTATATGTTGCTTACTGCATTAAATAGGTTGATATATCGCCTAGGACTGTAATCGTTCATAGTTGGTTGTTACTTCACAATGCCGGCTTTAGACGTCTGGAGGCAACATAGGAGTGGAGGCACCCAGGTCCCAAATTATTGTAAAAAAAAAAAATATTGTTGATCAATTTTGTATGGTAAGTGAATCAGGCGTTACTTTGCGGAAATCATATTTAAGCTACTGTAAATTACACATGTATATATATATAATTGAAAGTACAAAAACAAAGCGTCGAGACACGGAATCGAATAATCAACCTCCGAGACTGCGGGCGCTTACCATCCCACTCACCCATTGAGCCATTGGGATACTTGCTGGCCTGAGTGAACAAATATACCTACATCGAAAATTTCTGTTAATATTTTATATAATGGTGTTCGAACTGTAGGTAAAAATAAAACGCGAAGAAGAATTTCAAAGGAAAGGTTAACTTGTGCTTTCTAGACTGATTGTAGAGGCCCTCCCCTAAATTTGTGAATCCGGTTGATAGTATTATTCTATCAGACCAATGTCTACAGATACGTATGTAACTTTATTTATAAAATGTAATGCTTATCGCCAGACATGATTATCGTTCGGTTGATATTGGTGATACACGTGATACAACGTTAGCTAATCCGTCTTTGATCACTTTACATATGAGAATCACGCTTTCCCCTCATGATTTTTTTCAAGTACAACATATATTTCAATGTCTTGCATAATTTCGTGATTGTTTCATAAAGTTGTGTGGGGTTTTTCAGGCAGTACCGCGTGATATGTGCGTGTATCGATCAATGACTCCTATCGAACCCATTACCGTAACTCACGCAATTCAAATGGATCACAGATAATTTTCTGTTGGCAGTCTCGTAACTCCAATTTGGGACACCATATTTTTGCGTATGTTTCATTGACAATTTAGTTAACACCTACTTGATCTGTCTTATGTTCCCTTCCAAAAGTTATTGTTCCAACCTATGCATTAACTACTGGAGGTGGTTTATACTATTTTGAAAAGATAAGAAGAACAGTACCGAGTCGATGGGCGCCTAAATAATATAAATTGACTTTTAGCAAGCTTTAGTTTCTACTACTTTTGATTATGTGTAATTAAATGAAACATATATATTTTCACATTAACACGTAAAGTGCCAAGTAGCACATATTAATTTTAATACTCTACACAACATTAGTAAAAAACTTTTTTACGAATTCGATTTATTGGCCAATTCTTAAAGAATTAATCTATTGGTCTAATCTAACGGTTGGGAGTTATTTACCTCAGTGGAGAAATTTAAGAGGACATTACAAGCTTGTCATTATATAAAACATTACCAAACCAATACAATTTGATATAATGAAAGGTGCTTGCTTTTGAGTGCGTGTGTCTGCTTGTTTATTTTCAACAAAGTGTAAAACAAAAACTTGCGTAAATACTTGCACAGGCGTTTAAAATTAAAAATATAGGTTGACATAGACATATTAGTAAAACATATTTTATTAAATATGGTCCTTGACGTATATAACTGGCCCCTTAAAGGCATAAGTATTTTGAGATAAGTTATATTTCAAAATAAGTATTTGGAAATCCATTAATATGTGTTTCAATAATGGTAACTACTAAAATCAGACAGATGTTTCGCAGTCATCACAAAACAAAGAAAATATTTGAAATTAAACTCCAATAGAAAGTACATTGCCAACATATATACACACATATGCCAAAATTCTTACCATTTAGCTGGCACAGCATATATTTCACGCATAAAAAGTGCTACACAGTCTACTGTCCGCCAACTACTATTATAATTAGGTACTTTCCCGCCAAAAGACTCGACCACACGCGAACTATATCAAAATAAAAATACTAAAATAGCGTGGCGATTGTGTCGCGGTGAAATTGAAACGCGATTTGCTCTTCGTGCCGTGTCCATTCGACTTTCCCCCCAACAGAGTTTATATCATTAATAGCAAATACCTATTTGCTTATTTCCAGTTGGCGCGATCTAATAAAATATCATGGCTAAACAAGTTTAAGATTCAGAAACAGGGCAAAGTGTGCTTCCCGTATGACGAAAAGTTATTGGATTTTTACCTACCTACCCTTATCACCATCAACTAATATAACTATAAAATCGATACATTACGCGGAATAAAATTTGAGATTCGCGCACATATATAGGTTGGATGGTAGCGATTAAGCTTTAGGGATTTATCCCCCAACAACAGTCTAAATTGATTTCCATCAATAAATTATTATAAAAATATCTTTTGAGTTTTTAAGACTCTTTAAAAATCATATGAATTTGCGGTAAAAATTATGATATTGGCTATTGAAATTTTAATGACTTTATTCCGTAACAACACGTTGTATATACGTGGGTAACACTGAAAATGTTTAGAACGGGCCAGTTAGAAACATTGCTAATGAAAACTTTTTTTAATTTCAATTTTAGAACTCTTTGGTAACCTAATGTAGTATATTGCATTCATTTGTCATTTGTTTTTGTGAATTGGTGGCAAATCTTAAACTCTTGTTACACGTCAAAATGAACCTAACGCGAGAAAATTTTCGGTCAATGATTTATTATGACTTTTGTTGTGGGCTTTATCGACAACAAAGCTATGATAGGCTGCGATTAGCATTTCTTAATGAAGCCCCATCTCGTGCTACTATTTACAATTGGTTTAACGAGTTTAAGCGTGGACGAGCAATCTTAATGATGATCTGCGTGAGGGACGTCCTTTAACAGCGTCTACTGAAGATAACATCAGTGCTGTGCGACGCATGATAGAGGAAGATAAGAGAGTGACCTATCAGCGAATACGGGCAAGCCTAGGCATTGGAATTAGTCAAGTTAAAAAAATATTACAACACCATAACATTTAGGCGTCAGGAAGCTTTGTACCAGATGGATTCCTCATACTTTAACCGACGACCAGAAACACCTTCGCATGGACTGGTGTCGCCAAATGTTAGATAAGTTCAACGGCGGTGACTCAAATGCTGTATTTGACATCGTCACAGGTGACGACAATCAGCTCAGTGGGTGTTTCCTTTTGTTGATCGGCCAACTAAGGTAAAGAAAGGAAGAAGTCAAGGAAAAAGATGATTGCCTCATTCTTTGTTCGGAAAGGTAATTTCGCGACAGTTGTGCTAGAAGATGGAAGGACAGACTGGTATGTCAATCGCTGTTTGCCTGTTGTCTTGGAAAAATTTCGGCAGCATGGTTCAGCGCACTCCACAAAACGGACTGTTTAATATTTGACTATGGAAGGTGTCGAGATAATGAGTCATCCGCCATACAGTCCTGACCTGGCGACTTTCATTTATTCCCAAGAACTAAAGATAAAATTCGAGGTATTCGCTTTACGAGCCCTGAAGATGCGGGTGAAAGCGTGCGAAAATGCCATAAAAGAGTCCCCTAAAGAAAAATGGGCCCACTGCTTTTCTCAGCGGTTCCATCGAATGCGGCGATGTGTAGAGAGGAACGGAGATTACTTCGAAAAACATTAAAAGAGAAACAATAAAGATTTTCAGAGTTACCTAGGTATTATTAATTGTTGCTAAAGGCGTCGCCAAGAGAGTCGAGAATTCCTTTTTTATTAATAGTTAATTTGTCAAAAATATATTTATGTTGAAGTTTTAACTTTTTACTACTCGTACCTACCCCTGCTCCTGATAGGTCAAATTGTAGGTCCCTATAGTTATCTTTCGCTGACCACAGCTGCTAAAAGGCGCTCTGTTGAGTTATGTAAAAAAGACAAAAGTATACATATGAACTACTTGTTTTTTTACAATACGATGATAACTAATAAGAGTCAGACGCCAAACTGATTGTATTTGAGAAGGACATAACTCATGCTTCGTCACGTGACCAATTTATAATCTTTATTTAAAGTCAAATATTTACGAACCAGTCCTTTGGGGACCAGCTAAGTACATTTTCATTCTTGATATTACTGCGACTTAGTGTACTTAGACAACAAAATCATTTAAATAGTATTGTTGTCTAGTACATGGCATTTAAGGATAAAACAAATAAGACTGTTTGTTCTAATCGTTTATTGAATAAAATACAATTTCAAAAACTTTCGATTATTTCAATTAAGTATATAGTATTGTACCTACAGAGGTATGTCATTGGTCCATAAATTACGCATATGACCGAATATCAACGGTTTAAGTGAATTACAAAAACTCCAAAAATAAGCTAAACAAAGCACTTGTGCAACAAAATTATACTGTGGCCATTTCTGGTGAAAATAATGAAGAATTAATTCTACTTGTAAGGATAAGATATTTCCCAGCATACGATTTAAGTGGCTTAAAATTTAAACATTCTTAAGTACGTTTGGCAGTGCAAGTAGATTTTACAATAAATTTTCTTGTCAACTTTTTGTAACTAAAGATATACAAGTTTTTGGGCACGCGAAACATGTTATTTTTCAAAATGATTGGCGATAAAAAATCTAAGGGAGATTCAGAAACGGGTCTTCGGGCTAACGTCTTGAGATAACTTCGGTATGTCAAAATCTAATACATTTTTGACGTATGGATGACTCGTTGAATTTTACCCTAAGGCGCCAGGAACCGGCGAACTTACATTTCGCGTACTTTAACACCATTGTCTATCTCAGTGCCAAAAGAACCTTGAATATCTGTATTGAACTATTTTATGAAGCTAAGTGCAAATTGAGCTACATTAATCATACATTGCTAGATAAAAATACTAGTAGTAAATAAATATAAAGCATATATAAAAAGAAAAATGCTGAAGCAAGAACACGTGAAACACAAAGATTTAAATATAGATAATAAATCACGTCGCTAATTGCTAGCTTACAATAAAAATAGACAAGTCAAAAAACGTTATATTAAAACCCCCTACTAATCAACATACAAGATTTTATGGTGTTATTTCAAAAACGATTTTTTTCTTACGTCGAATTTTGTTTTTTTAATAATTAAATCTAAATAAGATTTGTATTATTAGATAAACAAGAGATTAAGTATAAATTTTTTTAAGACAGCTTATAAAAACGCGTTAAAAAAATAACACCATACATATTTAGAATAAGTACACATAGCTTACACTCGTAATAATGTTGAGAATGATAAACACAATCCTAATTGTAATTTAGGCAAGTAATAAATGCTACTAACTACGGAGCCATTTCGCTTATAAGTAAATCTAAGTACGGAAAATGCCACATCAGACTACCATTACAGCAAAGTAGGTACAATGTAATACTTGTACGTACTAATTGCGTAAATTTCAACTGTAGAAAATACTCTTGTGTTTTATATTCAAACACCAGCCATTCACAAATCATATTTTAAAGAAAAGCAAAAACTTTTTGCTAATTATTGAAAGAATGGCAACAAAACCAAAACAATATAGTCTGTGCCATTAAGTATAATGTAAGTAGTCTGTGCATCTTTCTTGTTCATACAATGACACGACGCTGTTTATCTGATTGATACAACAGTATCGTGTATTAACTCACATTGCTGTTATAAATTATTAACATTCTGTAGTAAAATCTACACCTGGTAGTCATTGTTGTAAATTTTATATAGGACCCAGGTGTAATATAACTATGTGGTATTGCCCATCAGTAACATTAAATTGCAACTGTCACGTTGACATAGGTAATTCCAAGTCCTGCGTCAAATATTAAAAATAAAGTTTTAATTTTGTTTGTATTCTTTTAACATTTACCTACCACACATACCTGTCAACATAAATATCGCAAATGACAGTATCCGATGGTAATATCGATAATTCCCTGAGAAACAGCTCCTTTTCTATTATAAAGTATGTAACACGTAAAACTCCTTAACAGATGTTATACGCATCTGAAATAGTGGAAAAATTGCGCTAATACGTCTTCAAATTCGGGAATAAATTCGGCTTGTATTAGCCTTTGGTTAATTTAACATTGTTAAGACATGAAATTACTTAAATTATAAAGGTTTTACTGAATAATACTTATATTACCTTGAACAAGTAAAAAATTAAATTATTGCTAAGTCGCGCCTTTTATAGAAAACTATACAAAGCGTAGCTATTAATGCTGATGTTTTGGTCTTGGTCTTTATTTATAATTATTTTTCAGCCGTATTGCAGTAATATATTTTGAATAATACACATGTAAATATTTTTTTTTAATCTTAAAGAATATAAACGCCAATTTTATACGACACTTTGTTACAGTCAATGTGTGTATGATTGCTGAAAAGCCCAAAACGACAGTGAATAATAAAAAATGTAAATAATATAAAATTCACGTTTATATCCTTTAAAAGTTGTATTTAATTCTAGTACTTGCGCAAATCAAAAATAGTTATAGAGTTAACCAAAGGTTTTTCTTGACGCACTCTTTCCACTATTCCGTGCTAGTCATGCGTACGTTTCCCTAAAGCGTTTTTGTATGTGATGAGCGGCGTTTAGAAGACGATGGTGGAGCGAAATGTGCGGTGGAGCACAAACTGGTGGAGTCGGGGCAAGAGGAATGATTAGTGGGGGAACTGTCGCATCCTTGTCGGGATGACAGAAGAACGCAACGCAATGGCGGCCGCGGGCTCGAGCGTACATTCCAGATGGTACCTCGACGCGGTGCATCTGAAACAAATATAGTTATATTATAATTTAAATTGCTTGTGGCGGCGTCCATGCGTCGGGTTGTCTCTCTCCCTAAAATAAGGCGAGGGGGCCGATGGCTGGCTATGCGTCATACTCGTGAATGGGTGCTACTTGGAGTGACTGGTCGTACTTGAATTCGTGAATACGGTGATGTTAGTTATTTCGACTGTGTTTGCGTGTTGTTCCCACGAGAATGTAAGTGCGTGCTCCTATTTCACCATGCCTCCTGCTGATAGAGGACAAGTCTTTGTTTTTAATTTATGTTATTATTATTTATTACTTAAGATATCATGTGTAACATGGTGTAATGGTTGCAGCTCCTTACAAACGTTGTGTAAAAAAAACATGACGATTAAAAAGAGTGGCGGAGAGTTTATTGCCAGATCTTCTCTTCCGTTCCACGCCCTTGATCTGAGAATTGGCACTAAATGTAAAGTTAGAAACATTTCATATACATTTATTTTTTTGACGTTCATATGTGTACATTGTGTTACCTATATGATTAAATGATTTTTTACTTTATAAAAAAAAATATAGATTTAGTAAATTGTCAATGAAATGTGTACAATTTTTTATTTACAGAATAATATAATCTTAATAATGGTATATCACATTTAAAAACCACTGTGGTTTTAATGTAACAATAGCAGTCTTGTTGGAAGCGCGACAAATGCATATACAAATAATTCTTCAACTTGTTTTTTATGTTGCTTAACGAGCAGTGTTGGCACTGGAAGCGTGCGACTCTCATCCCTGAGGTCGTAGGTTCGGTCCCAGCCGTGCAACAACGGAAATCGGCTTGCCTTAGACCCAAAAAGTCGACGGCGTATGTCAGGTACAGGAGGCCTATTTGCCTATTAGATTGACATTGAAACAGATACAGAAATCTAAGGCCCATAACTGGCCAGGTAGTCCATTTAGCTGCTGTAGTAAATACTTCGACGTTTTCTCACCATTGACGTTGTTTGCTCTCAAAGTACAGAGCCGAACTTGCGTTACAGTTCGGGTCGGTACGTCATGCTAAACTCGTTTTATGAACGTTTTTTGACTCGTTTTCTTCGAAAAACAGTTTTAGACTGAAGCATTTATTTTTAGATTATATATTACATTAAAAAAAACCAACACAGAAAAAACAAGATGATAAAATTTTATCTCTTGGTAACCTATGTTAGGCAGTGTATTATGTTCAGCAAACTTATAATACTAACCAAAGGCGGAAGCAAATTTGTAGTCCAGTTACCGAGTAGTTCACCAGTCTGAACAAGAATGGCTCCAGGAAGATGACCGACAGCTTGCCATTTCTCACTTCCATTCAATTTTACCTGAAAAAAAATGCAATCAAATTACGTCTGCAATCTTTACGTTGTATAAGTTTTTACCGTAATATAATAGCAATAAATTTTGTATAGAAAATTCAAGCTACATAGAGCGCAATTAGAACTATAGGCGAACAATATTATATTCACATTGGTAATTAGTGTTTAAACTACTGTGTTTGTACCAACATTACTCGAGATCGTATTCGTATTGGACATTTCAGTAAAATTTACTAAAATATCAAAAAGTTTGCTAGGTTAGTACAAGTTTTACACACGATATCGTGTACATTAGCCAAAATACCTATACTAACATTATGACTTCAATTCACAACAGGTATAAGGCAATTAAGAAAAAGAAAAAAAAACTTGTGCAGGTATCTTTGGTCGCGATAAACTATTAGGAAATTTTCTCATAATTTATTTATTTTTATTTTATTTAAACTTCCTTGCACTAATACAGAAATACGGTAAAATTAAAATAGTTACATACAAAGGAGGGCAAAAGAGATTTTTTTTTTTTTTTGTGTTTTTAGTGATTTATCCTATGACTCTTAGCGCCAGATTTTTTTCCCCTCATAAATTAATGTATGTATTTATACTTCTGTCCTTATGGAATGTTTTTTGATTTGCATAATATATACCTCGAGTCCTCCTTCTGAATCCTGTGCTACCAGAGTGAAAGTACATCTGTCGCTATGCGCTCCACAACGGGTGTAGGCGATAGCATCATGACAGCACGGTCCCTTATCTTCAGGAGGCACTGGAGGATAGTAGAGAAGCTGCATGCATGAGGGATTGCGTCCATCGCTTTGCAGCATACCCGAGTGAGATGCCAGCAAAGCGGATGGTGGAAGACCTGTGGATTTAACGAGATTATTAGTATTTTTGTAATAGTAAAAAAAGTTTACCTACCTATCACGTGAATAACCCACGTGAAATTTTATTTAGTTAGTTTTTCTGTGAAATAGCGGAAGTTATTTAAAGCAGAATTTTTTGTTATACATGTAAACACACACCCTATCATATATAATACATCCTATTTCTACTCAGAAAATTGAATTTTTTCTTGTACAGATAGAACATGTTCACAGATAACTCAAATTTATCAAGTCACCTAGTATTTACATTAACTTTTAATCCTAGTTAAACATAGGCAAAATGCAGATTTTGTTTTGTCGTTCGTGTACAGTTCGCGTAAGATTATACATTACATAAAATAATACATAATTTGTATTGCATGAACAAAAATATGGTAATTACGCAATATTACTGTGACATCACAATTTTTTACAGTCGATGGCCAAACTATATACCATGAATAATGTCTGATAAACAATACCAATAAATTAACTACAAATATGCATTTTTGTTGACAACATTTTTTTTTAAATATTAGCATTCCACACAGGAAACTTTAAGTGAATCTAAGGCTGACACTAACGAGCAGGTCTAGTTTAAAAAAAAATAACATTAGGTGTGACCCGATGATTTGTCATGGAACAATTTCCGTGCTTGCAACTTTCATCCCTTATAACGTGTCATGTCAGCCGCAAAATCGTTTTTATCTAGCTCTCATTCATAATCTACTTAAATGCTAAGATTGAAAAAGCATTCTGATAAGTGATTACCATGTGGCAAATGTTAGTTTATATTTAAAATCTCATCCCAAGAATTAAGCATAGTCGAAAAGATATACTTTGATGATTATTGTACCATATGTATTTTACTAACACCTGTGGTAATTCATTTTAAAAGAAAAAACGCCGATGCGTAGTAGAAAGAAAAGTAGACTTTTCTCGGGCTAGATTTGAGTTAGATTGAAGTTTCGAAACAGAAGTATTATATTGAAAAGTGGCAACAACGTTATTAAATCACATCTAAGCAATTTGAAAGTCTTACCGAAAACAGAAGCCAAGGCCTGTAGCAACACTCTAGACAGGTTGGTGAGGTCGTGTGCGAGGGGAAAGGTGTGAGAGGGGAAGTCTGGCACCTCCTCCTGCGCAGGCATCGCGGCGGCAGACAGAGTCGTGATGTTGAACGAGTGACGTAATTCCTAGAAATTCAAAGATAACTCATAACAGACCCAGTTACTGTTGATGCATATAACATGTAGTTAATCTACAAATAACAACCTTGAAGAATTGCTAATAAACTACTTATTATTTCAATATATAAATGGTTTTCGATAAGGCTGGCGAGAAGTAGCATAGGACAGGGAGTGATCCTTGGGTTGAAATTTGAATGCCTTGGCGAACCCCGACGGCCCATTTTAAGGGCGTGTGGAGGGCTTAGGTGTTTTTAGTCGGTAGGGTCTCGCTAACCCTTTGCATAGCAGAGGGCTTTGAGTGTAAAAAAGTCCAAAGTCTCCAGACAGGGAGTGATGGCAGACTATCGTTTCGGAGGCCCGGACACATTTTGGTTCGGAGTGTTTCAAATAAACAGGGTTTTTTTAAAAGTACATTCCTATATGCCAAAGCATAAGATGTAAAACGTTAAGGCAGTTAATAAACCTTTTTAGCCTACCTGGAGGAGGTTCTACATAACATCGTCGGAGGAGAACACTTATTAACTGGAGCAAATTTCTAATATCATTATTATAATTTACTTATTCATATAACATGTTTGGGAGACCGGCTATGAAATATAAAGATCACTGCAAACCTTTTTAGTTTCATCGAATTGTTCGGTTCCCGGACGAACGTAACCGTGCTTGTTGACAGGATTGCGTAAGTATTGCGCTTGACATCCCTCTGGTAGAGCGCAGAAGTTATCTAAATCAGCATACACTGCTTTTAGCTGAAACATTAGGGTGTTTATTAACAACAATATATTCCCTTCCTCATTGTGTTAGAAATGTTTGGCAATATTGTTTTTATACTTAATTGAGCGTGTTTAGAACGCTCAGGTACTAATGCATTGTTTAATAAATTGTGATGAATCGATGAGTGATTTAAAACAATACTTTAATATTTGGGTGCTTATGATTATTAATTTTTGAGAACTTAACTCAGAGGAAAGCACAAGAGAATTTTAATTTATATTTTTTTATTTTTTATAGAACAAACAAACGTGCATGAGGCTCATCTGATGTTAAGTGGTACCGCCCCGCCGCCCATGGACACTGTCAATGACCGAGGGCTCGCGAGTGCGTTGCCGGCCTTTTAAGAATTGGTACGCTCTTTTCTTGAAGGACCCTAAGTCGAATTGGTCGTTTTATTGACATCGACACAAAGATCGTCGAAATGCAAACTTCCTTCTAGTCTTCAGTTGGATAAAAAACAAACGTTTTATAAAAATTTAATAAGGTAAACAGACGTATCTAATGGTATGAATAAAAAAAATATACCTTCTCCTCAGCGATGCCGTGGTTGACAAGCAATGCTAGGCCCTTAGTGCTAAGGGCGGCAAACAGTTGCTGGCCAATGCGACGTACCACTGATTTCATAGGACATATTTCCGTTCCTGAAATGAGAGTAAAAAGTTTTAAGCACATTGATTTCCGTTTATCAACACTAATAAGAGAAACCTTTTGTGTTTGTAATGAAGAAACTTGAAAACCGATTAAATAATTTCACCGATTTAGAGCCACATTATCAGAAAGTAACACAGGTTGTACATCATTGTAGGATTTATAGTAAATGAAAAAGGGTGCGTGTACTTATGTACCTACGCGCGTAAGAAGTTATACTTCTTTGGCTTTCTTTATTTTTTTTAAATGTTAAATAATTCATAATAAATATTTAACGTTAATAATTTAATAATATTTAATATTTAGTATATTATTCAATGATTAATTAATATTAATAATAATAATTATTATTATTTATTATTTTATTATATTATTCATTCAATTTAATAACTAGGTATGGTTCATAACCTTTTAACTAAGTAACAATAGGTCTTTGTGAAAAAGTATTGCTAAATTTCTTTGAAAAAATAATTAAAACTCCTTTATTGGTTTAAAAGGTACCACAAAAGTCATTATGGTCATTCAAAATTCTTGGCATAGCTGCTAACGCATATTCTATTTCTTTTTACTTGTAGATTGTCTTATTTCCATCTCGCTCGCGCACGCTTGGCGCCCGGCTGGTTTAAAAAGAATTCGTTAGTGGGCAACTTCATTCTGATAATTTTGTGTCACGGTGCGCGCGCATCGTAAAATTTCACTCTCATCAATTTTTCATAACGCGCCTAAAGAAGTATAACTTCAAAAATCTCCTTTATAAATTTCCCGCAGTTTGTTTGTTTGAACATGCAATCTAGAGATGGATGTTATATAATTTCATGTTTGTATTGGATCATTTATTGAGAAAGCTTCCACGCTACGACTAAATTAAATCGGCTAATGTTCAAAACTAGTTAGTATAGTGGTAGTAGTTTGTAAACTTTTTGACTATACCTCGCCTAATTTCTTGCATAGATATATACGACTCGAAATAGCGGCAGTGAAAATATGTAATAGCAAAATAAAGGTCATATTTGCTAACGGTTTAGCAACTTAGATACGCGAGCAATTAAAGCATAGAAAATTAAACTATGCTCTTAAAAAATTACAGAATTAGAAGAAAATATCGGTACGAGATCAGCTCTTCTAATATGATTTTTCTGTTTTTTATATAAGTCATGAAATACATATAATTAAACGGCACTAGTACACAATTTTGACAGTTTTAAAACGTACGAATATCTTGCTCAGAATACAGGGTAATTAAATACCGAATTAATTTTCACCTATCTATGCCATAAAGTGAATAATACCCGATAGCTAATATTTCCTACATAATAAAATGTTTTACGATTAGATTACCAGCGGATTCATATTGGAAGGAACCCAGAGGGTAATAAACTCAAGGTAGTGTTTTTATAATAGAGCCGCCATTTTATAATTAGTTTTATTTTCCGGCAAAACTCGTGAAGGGGAAAGAATTTAAATTAATTATTATATATTTCAATTTTACATGTAAATATTTTTCACAGCAAGGACAACTACATTTCATAATTAAACGTAATTATCACATATACTAAATTCCTTAGTATTGAGATTCTCGCTTTACTTGGAATTTAACGATGGTCGCTAGTACAACCTGATTGTATCTGCTTCATGACGCCAATTGGTGACGCACTGAAGACTTGCATAAAAGCTCCTTATTTAGAAAAATTGTAGTAATTTGAAATTTAATTAGGCTTAGAAATGTTGTGTGTTATTTCGTCAATACTATGAAATATCAGCAGATATTACTTTAAAATATTTTATATAACGTTAGTTGTACGTTTGTTTCGACCTAGTTAGAGTTGCGATGGAAAATGGTATTTTACAGTTTGGATAATAGTTACAAGACTCGCTACCTTGTGACCGTTTATAAAAACGTTCATCGATGCATAAAGATCATTGAGCACTCAAAAGTGGTCCAGATTATCTCGCAAACGTACTTAACGTTTCAATGAATACGGGTGAATAAAACTGGTGTGAAGGTACAGTTACATGAATACTTAATTAAAATATGTTTAGTAATGTCACTGGTATTGAGAAAAACTGTTTTTAACTATTGAAATATGTAGAAGAACAGTTCGTGAAGGTCTGGCCGTGACATCATTTTGCTGACGCTCACACACCCTGCCTTGTGCCGTGACGGTATTTTGTTTCTACTCTGTTCTATCAGACCAAATGACAATGTTTCAATACAATTACCCTAAAATTTTATTTCCAAAGAATACTCGTGTGAATGTGATAAGATAAGCCGTGGTTAAAATTATGAGTAGTAAATATTATGTTCCAAACACAACGAACAACAAAGTATATAGGTACACTCAAGTGGAAATTATCAAAATTATTGTTCCATTATCTTTGATAATATAGTTTCTTAGAGGTTCGCATTCTATTAGACGTAATAAAAATGTAATATGCCACTGAGTTTTTACTATTACGTAATCAAATTATGAATGTGTTTTTTATTTATAAAATTTCCCTGCAAATATTGATGTCATAACCACATAAATAATATCTTTTACAAACAGATCCGTCAAAAAGGAAATTGCAACTTAACTCATGAAACACGACGTGTAAAATATAAAAACCATAAAATTAGGTGTAAACATAAAGTTTATTAACCGCACGTTGTTCCTATCGGGATCGGATTTAGAACGAATGCTTGACCTACTTTTGGTGATTAATTTGTTTGCAGTACTCAAGTGAGAACACGAGTTGAACACGCAAAGAGCATTATACCAATAAAATGGATCATAAACTAATCTTTAGTGACTAAATCACGGCTTTGGAAGATTTGAAGCACTCTTTAGCATTTTATGTTTTTATTATTGAAGATTGAAATAACTTTCCTAATACTTTTATTTGTTATTAAAAAGATAATTTATGTTTTTCTAGCTATTTTTGGTATAACACTTTCCTTTAATAAAGTCCTAGTCTATGGTTTAATCTTTGCAAATATGCCTGCATAGGAAACGAGCCTTATAGTAGACACTGAACTTGGAGCTAATTAAGCTCAACTTCTGATAAAGGCGATGTATTTTATACAGGAAAAGTAAATAAGTATCTCCGAACATCTAAGAAGTCTGAATTGGTTGCAGATTGATCCGGAAAACGGTGAAGGAAATATTATGTAGTTATGACGACTTTGCAAGAACAGGAAAGTGTCAATACAAACCTACTTCGGTCACTGGTTCTTTGTTGCTCTGCACTGAAGTTTGTAGGCCAATTTATTTCTATTCAATATCTTGTGTAAGGATTTTTTATTACTGTTATGGTTTGGTTGAAAGCGATATCGAACGTAAAATAACGTACCATAAATTTAATTGAAAACATTAATTAAAACTTATACCTTATACTGATGTTTACATGTTAAGTTTTCTAGGAATTAATAAATTTACTAGTTTTAATAAGTGCGTAATACACGATTACGCACCTGAATTAAATTGGTATCTACAATATTTTATAACTTCGAAAGCGGTCGTCATAAAGCTTTTTATCAATGCAACATGGAAAATATTAAACCAAAGACGATAATGCATATAATAAAAATATTATAAGCGCTTCGTCATGGTTGACGTTTGATTCTATTTAATCAAAGAGTTTATAACGGATTTTCAAGAATATCAAGTTTCAAGTATTACTCGAGATATCGTTGTGACGACTTCCTCGTAATGCCTGATAGAGTCTAGATTGCAAGTCAAGTTATCTGAGCCGGCATTTGATGCCACTAAAGCTAACCATTTTTGTTCTGACTGTTGATTCGTTCTATGTAATTGATAATTCTTCAAGAAGTCTTATGTGCCCACCCAGTCGAAGCAGTACGAAATAGAGCCTTCGTGGCACTGTGGGTTTCTAATTACTCGAATAATTTTATTAAATAATATAACAATTTATAGTAAGACAATTCACTATTTTCACCAGAACCAATAGTGAAAATATTTATTGATTTTTTTTATTTATTTATACTTTATTACCTTAATTAAAAATATTATGGATAAAAGAAAAAGGTTGGGTTTATATTTATGAATTGCACAATCTTATGTATGGTAATGAGTTGTATATGGAGATGATTGATATTATTAATTATGCAATTAATATTTTTCCTTGCATTGCATTATTACACGGAAATTAGATTCAAAGAGTTTCTTCTATAAATCAATACAACAAGCAATAAGTATTAATATAGCGATGAAAAGAATAATGCAAATCCTAATGCGGGTATTCGTCATAAAAACGATAAATTTAATAAACTGCTCTATTGTTTATTTTTTATGTTCTATTGTGCGACTGTTCCGTCACATAACTGTATTAGGGAAGTGCGTTTCTCTTTATAATCCAAAAAACTACTTCCCTAAGTAGTAATGTATGTAGATATACATTAAATAAGCTGGATTTTTTTAGTATAATTTCCGGCGGGACAATGATAGTTTCCTGTCCCATTACACAGAAAGCTGTGATACATAGCATAACGAAAAATAATCAATGAAACATATGTAATGTATCAGCCGTATGTATGATTACAGGACTTCTACATACCCACACAAGTACGCAAAAGGCGACAAGATCTCAATCATTGGATGCACTTATTGTTAAATAACAATTGACATGTCCCTAACCGTGCATGCTAAGGTTGTATAGAGTTACAGCTATTCATATCAAGCTCATTATTTAAATATCAGTCGAACCTTGGCCTCGTTTCACATTTTTACCTCATCTTTTTTAAGATTCATTGAAATATAATTCGTTTATTCCTTTTCATGACTGTATACGATAAAGTCGTATTTTTCAAATAAAACCTTCAAAAATTGTTTAGGTTATATGCAGAAGTAGAAACTCAGAATTTAGAATTTGTGTTTCAATTAGAGATGTTGGAATATTTTATAGTATACTAGCAGACTCGGCCAAGCGTTGCTGTGGCTAAGATTTTTGTTATATTACATAGTAGTAAACTATTCAAGGGAAGCGGCAGTAGAACACCAGTCCACCATGCTTTTTTGGTGGTAATGCCATTAAATTGTTGCTTATTTGATACGTTGGTACTTTCAACACAGCGCCATCTGTTAGAATTGTGACTATCAAATAATAAACAAAATTTTGCAATAAAAGTTAAGTAAATAAAAAATGGATTCGTTACATATTTTTAATTTTATAAACCACACGTGTTAAACAAAGAGTTGTATGATTGTTTGTTTTATCTAAGTAAAAATAATAGTGTGTATATCTTGTGTTTAATAAGATATATAACGATATGATATTTGAAGTCGTAGATAGAATTAGATTACATGTCTTTAGCTTATGATTAGATATATTATGTAATGATTTGATAATATTAAATAATAGGTATCACATTGCAATTTGAATTTAAACTTGCTGTGCACTGCATTGTACTCATTTGATAGACTAGCATGATGCAAGGAATTGCATAATTGCTTGGACTAGAACGATACAATTACAATCACCGGTGACTGAATGGCATGCATTGTTGGCGATTTAATTCATATTTTATATAATGTATTTGACATTAATTATTACATATAAATATTTGCAGTTTGTTTACACAATAAGGCATTGAGGTTGCCTTATAAATAAGCCTTAAAACTATCCGTAAATGATGTTTGGTCAGAAATTATTCGTGGGTGAAGTTGAGAATAATTAAAACTATGATAATAATACATTTATTTTAATACATCCTCTCTGTCAGTGAAGTGAAGGAAAAATTCAGAAAATAAATAGGAAAACTATTTTCTGAATTTTTCTTTCTCATTAAAACCATTATAATAAACGAAATATGTATATCCCTTAAGTGTTGCTGTTTAGGTTTTTATTTGTACTGGACCAAGGCTTAATATCTCGTAACATGTTAAACTTTTATCGGTCGAATTTACCTTTTAAAAAGCTTTTGTATTGGTGAAAGGGTGAAAGTTAAGATGGTTTGAAGTATATTTTTTTATTGTCAGTACGACCTCCTTTTTGTGTGTATTATTTTCCTTTAAAAAAATAATGCTACATAAACTTTCAAATAGTAAATTTAAGATCAATTTAAAAATTGATAGGAAACTATTATTTGTAAAGTAGGTTTGGTATATTGTGTAGTAAAAGGTTGAGAATAGGAAAACGAAATTATTGTTGTTTTTTATTCCATATGAGTTATATTCCATATATGTTATACGTATGAGACGCTGTCATTTTATTACTTAAATACTAGCTGACGCGGCAAACGTTGTTTTGCCATGTACCTACATAATATATTATTTCTAGGAAACATATTTTTAGTTCAATAAAATTATGATTCTCAGACTTACTGAATATGTATAAATTTCATAAGAATCGGTCGAGCCGTATCGGAGGAGTATGGGAACGAACATTGTGACACGAGAATTTTATATATTAGATACAATACTTTTTATCCTTTAAACTATAAGCCAATGCTAAACAATAAAGGTTTAATATATAGATTGAGGAAGTCTGGCTAAGCTTTATATAAATGATAGCTGCGAGTAGGCATGACGAAATCATGAAGGCCACGATAATCCTTTTAGTCCGGGAGGTAGCGTTGCAAATGCGAAAGTCATAGTAAGCCGGCTGATATTAACATCGATAGTTGATCTTATATGAC